ACCGCTAAACTGCAATATTTAGAGGTAAGAATTTTATATCTGGTGCTTAAGACGACCCTAACTTTGGGCTGATTTTTTTATGGTTCAAATTCCGTCTTATAGGCCGATATATACTGTATGTAAAAATTGATATTCATATACAACAGGCATGGGCAACCTTTCCTCAGTCATGGGCGCTTACGATTTAGGTATTTTCTGCAGGCCAATCCACCATTTATATCCCACCAAACCCAAAAGTAATGTTAATATTGTATTAGCACAGAGAGGTGAAACAGTTTTAGTCACATCCACCTTACGATATTTTCAGTTTACAATCAGTCTTTACTATTTATGAAACAAATCTGTCAAAATTAAAATTTTAAGTGAAATTTTATGTTTCTTGGCTATTAGGGAAGATGAGTCTGTCATGTTATTTTTGTTATATTATTTTCCTACAGTTACAGCATTTTTTCTTACTTATGAGACACCTGCACCTGAATAATGTCAATGTTAATCTTAGCATGAGGAACTATAATGAAACAACTTATAGGCAGCGTTTAATCAGTGAAGAATAAACACTAGGCAGAAGGATGAGGTACTATGGAGAGAGTCTGTCAACATGGAAGAGACCTTTGACCCGTGTAACCACTACTTAGAGCCCACTTGGACTTAACCATCCGTTGATTTCCCAAGTGATACTTCACATAGTAGCTAAGCCATCAAACAGCGTTGAATTTGGCCTGTAAGCTCACACAGTTAAAATGTTGATATTGTTGACTATACTTATTTTACTATTATGTTTTTGTAGTTACTGATTCTTAGGTGATAAAATGAGTTGTGAATTGTGTGCGAAGATTATTCTTTTAATAAATACTGCTTTACCCACCATAAGCTGGCTGCATCTACCTGAACTGCAGGCCACATTAAATAGAATTTCTCAATCATCTCATGGCTGCACAAGACATGGTTCAGGCGCTGTTTGCCCTTGCCTGATATGTACAGTATGCTTGTAGTTCCTTTTTAGCTTGTTTATTTAAAATGCAGAAGCTTTATAAGAGTATCAGCATTTTTATGTGTGGTTTTTAATTAATTGTAATTCAGAATGAATTGTAATTTTAGAATGAACCATCATTGTGCAGGTGGTATGTTGTCTTCAGGCAAAATTTGTCAAATTCCAGCCCACTGTTCATGTATCTGCAAGAAGGCATCAATAATTGGGATTATTATGGTCAAATGAAGAAAAATCTTGTTCTTCAAAGATGATTTGCAAATACTGTACTGTACTTGACTACATTTACAGTACTTTCCTTGGCGTTATTGTTCAGCTACTTCACATTCCCCTACACCTACAGGCATCCCCCACTTTTCGGAAGGGTTGCGTCCCTGGAAAATTGGCCGTATCGCGAAATTCCGTAGCAGTGAAACCTATTTTCCCATCGACTTCAATTATAAAACTGGAGATCGTTCTAGGGAATTTTTTCAGCCCCAAAAAGTAATTCAATCACATGAATGAAAATAAACATTTATAAAACTTACAATACAGTATTATTAAATAATTTATGATATACATGTAATATGAAGAAATACAGTTGGGAATAAATAAAAATGTTGTACTGTACTCACCTTTTGCGTTTTTTTATTATTGTACTGTGGTCACTTCCACTTGATGGCCTCTTTCAGTCATCTTGAATAAGGGTAATGCACTGTACTGTACTTACTGTATGCTTGTAAAGATTAAATCCAACTGCTGGGGGAGAAACATGAGCGCACACTGGATGTAAACAATGAAGTGATTTCAGTATGATGCACGCTTGGCGGTAGTAAACGCCAGAAATTCAATACCAAACAAATTATAATTTTTAACCAAAAATTTGAATTTTATACAGTATAGTGATTTTTTTATATATTTTTTTAATTTACCCCAATTTCTGTAAGGGCGGATTTACGGGCGTCGCGAAATTATTGGTCATAATTTACAAATTGTAGAACGAAATTCTGCAACCCGGGTTCCGTGAATCGAGGGGATGCCTGTATTTCACTTCGTCTCTGTTTTTAACATTATTTTTTTTGACACTAGGTTTGGAACTGTGTATAGAGGGCTCTGTAACATGTTTGTATTTATTTATACAGTATGTATTTGCATGTCATTTGAACACTTGCTAGTATGTCAAGCCACCTCATCATATGCAAATTCTAGCTTTGCTGGTAATTTAGTTCATCTTGGGAGTCTTCAAGATGTCCTGTGAAGGGGATCTTAGTAGCTTACACATGTTTTTAGATCACGCTTTTAGAGAGGGAGTTATACTTACAGTATTCAATCCTATTTACTCACATCTTATGATTGTGAGCGTGTCTTGCATTACACTCTAAGTAAAGTAAATGGCTCTATTCTTGTATTGAACTTGTGTATACAGTTTAGAGATTGATTTGAACATAATGTTCCTGAGCTGTGCAGTTACTGGACTTCTCCTTATTCCATTACTGTATCTGGAGAGTCAGTAATTTGCTACAAATTGGTTTAGGTAGGACACAAGAAACTAGTTTTTCCATTTTCTTTATGACAGAAATATTGTAGAATGTAAAGGAATCGAATGTACCCACTGCAAGAGAGTATCCTATCCAATAAAGGGAGAGAGTCATTACAGTGATGCTAAAGAATAGAAATAAGGTTTTATCAAGATAATATTTGACTGAGCATTAAGTGGGTTTTGATTCATTGAAAAGTGAGTCGGGCAATAAGAGCAAACAAAGGAAAAACTTCCATCAGGCAAGCTGATACTTCTGTTTTCATAGTGTTTCTTTAAAAAAACTGTTGTCAGGGATATCTTACAAATTAATCACGTTTTCATGTTTCATATTAATAATGTTGAAATTTTGAATTTGTGAAAATTACACCAGTTGGCTATTTCCCCATTTGTTCTTAATTTTACCACACTATGCTCTAATGTTGAAGTTTTTTTTATTAAAAATACAGTACTGTACAATAAAACCCCATAATTTGAAATAATAGAGGCTCTAGCCTTACGATTATGAGGGACACTTTCTCCTGGGGAAAAAAAACAAAACAACATTACTTTTCTGTTATTGGCTCCAAACAAAATTTAAATGTTTCTAAGTACAATACAGTATTATACCAGATTTAGGGTTATGAGACATAATGGATCGAACACTGGGCAATGATGGAAAATCAAGTGAAATAACCTTGTGTAGTAGACCATAGACATGCACTCCCGACTGACCCATGGAGTTAACCGTCATGCGTGTACATAATTTGAAAATGTTTCCATTATTTGAAATTTTACCAAATATTGTGAAAAAAAAAAAAATTATATATATATATATGCTGATAACCACAAGGAAAGAAGAAAACACGAAGTTCCCAAGCGCTTTCTGTAATTCACATCTTCAGGGTGAGTACAGACTAGAGAGAGTAATACAAATCAAGGTGTATATACAGAGGAGGGTGAGACCAGGTCCACAATGGTCAGGTATTAGGTAATGACCCTACTAATCTTTAAATAGCACCTAGCGGTTGGTGGTCAGGTCAGATGGTCCAATGCTCTGTTTGTTCATTTGAGGGATAACAAGCATTGCATTGATGGGATAATGCCTCCTCAATATTACCCATGTAAGTCAATTGACAGTAGGAACATCATAGAATCTAGTCTTATTAAACATACCGAAGCATTCAACATGAATTTGAGTAACGGCATGTACAAGCTGGACAATTTTGTAATTAAGAAGATTTGTGATCAGGTGAGAAGGCCGGGTCACTTGACCATCTGACCTGACCACCAACCGTTGTGTGCTATTTAAAGATTAGTAGGGTCATTACCTAATACCTGACCATTGTGACCTGGTCTCACCCCTCTGTATATATACACCTTGATTTGTATTACTCTCTAGTCTGTACTCACCCTGAAGATGTGAATTACAAGCGCTTGGGAACCCGTGTTTTCTTTCTTTCCTGGTTATCAGCATATACCTAGGATCACGCACACCACAGTGATTTACTGCATATATATATATATATATATTAGTCTCAATTACACGTTTAATTGAACCTGTGGAGGTCTGCGTAAACCGGGCCAGAAACGAAATAACAGAACATATGGGATTTATTTGGAAATAGAGACTGGGCGACCCCAAAACTACACTTTCCGACACAATAAATGCGTTGTAGTAAAATTAACATCTTAATTTTTATGATGGCATCACACACAATGAATATTTAAGAGAAATATCAATAATATTAGGTTTTTTAACCATTTACATTAGTAGAGATGGCTGGGTACACACAGGGATGGGGTTTTGGTTCTGAGGCAGAGGGGGCAGATTATTGGCCCTCACCTGTATCACTATCACCACAGAAACTGCAGGGCCTCTTTGTCAAAACCCTCAAAGTCCCTTATCCTCACTATCACTATCATTATTGACTTAGGCTGGCTGTGGTGGGTGAAGAACTGAGGTAATGTTTTGTTGACTGGCCGACCTTGTGCACACCCTGCCAGCGCCGCGCTTTCCTGCGTAAATGATGGAAATACCGCTTAAATAAAAATTTTCTGTCCTGGCAGGTGCGGCGTAAATGACCAAATCGTAAAGCAGAAATCGTGTGTCGAGACTATACTGTATCTGGTGCAGTATTATTGTAATACTATTACCACGTATTTCAAAATGTCTCATATTTTGAGAATTTTTATCAAATACTCTTTCGTGTTTTAAAATTTTTAATATATATTTCATAGCAACAAAACATTCACAATTACGGATATTTCCTTATTGAAGAGTGATACAAATTATAGAGGTTTAACTGTACTTTGTTATACATACTTATTTAGATATGATTGTAAAAATTAGAACTATATTCTAGGTAGCTGGTAGACACATCATAAATTATGTTGGAGTTAACCCTCATACTGTGCTCAATGGCATCCAATTGATTGTGGAACTTGAAAATGCAAAAGACTGTGTGTGGCCTCTGCTTCCCCGGTTGCTGTTTTTCCTGCTTTCCCATCATGCAGTTTGACCGGGTATCAGCTGTAGTACCCTGCTCATTACTACACCTTGTTGCATTCTTTGGTCACTTGATGTATTGTCCCACTTGTCAAAAATTTTGTTTCATCTGGTGGCACTATTGGCCCTTAAATTTCTTTACATCGAGTCTTCTCATTACTGTACCGATGTGAAGGGTCTGCCTCAACACGAGAGGTGGATTCCCATGCTTGTACTGCACTCTGTCATTGTTTTATTTAGGCATTTTCAAACTACAGTATTATTTATGTTAACCACCAAAAAATTTTCTTTGTTTTTATTTTTAAGAGAAATAAATAGTTATGAACTATTGTTAATTGATATGATGTATAATGTACAGTACTATACAGTACCATTATCTAAAATTTTATTAGAATAGTTTTAATCATTATTATTTGCAGTAATATGACTTTGTATTAATAAAAATCATGTTACTACTAAAATCAAGAGTAAACCTTTTAATGGTGGGTTATGATTTACAGCAATTGGTTTTTTTATTTTAGGGGAGCTTTATGTAATACAAAAATACTGTATATTATGTAAACAACCCATGCATGTTTATGATATTTAGGTAACTACAGTACTATATTCAAGTTTGTCTATGGATTAAATGATTTATTTTATTTATACTTGGTCTAAGTTTGAAGTGTTCATCATCTTGAATTAAAACTATATGAAAATAGCACTTATGTTTGTACAGTAGTATCCGGTTATCTGGCACCTCGGGGATTGAGAGGTGCCAGATGAAAGAGCCCTAGGTTAGTTGAAGATCTCACTCTTAGGGGTTCATAATAAATCCTACAATGCACAGTACTACAGGCTGACCTTGCAAATTTGTGTCAGAAAAATGGACTTCTTTAACATTTTATGCTGCCCTATATAAAAAGATGTGACTTAGAAAAAAAAAAAAAATATATATATATATGAAACTATACAATGTGAAAATAAAAAGCATGGGTGTGTATATGTGGGGAAGTGAATATGTAGAGGTGTTGGGTTACTGGGCTATAACTTTCGTGGCAGCGCTCCCTCCGATATGGCGTCATAGCATACACACAGCCAGTGCGGCAGCCACCGTCTGTTAGTCAGCTGGGTGGCTACTGCCTGAACTGTGTCATATTGCCCAGGATGGTTTGAGTGTGGAAGGAGCTATTTTTTGTACATAGAACTCCTTGACTAGTATCAATTTTTTTTATCATTGTTACTTTTCATCACGGCAGCTCATTCCCATTACATGTATGTGATATTCAAACTTAAAAGATTCCAGCTCATTTGGAAGAATTTTTATTTTATTATTATTACACACCTAACATTTGTTGCAGTTAATTGAATCTGGCGGTTGCATGAATGCCAGAAACTGGGATTCTACTGTACAATGTAATATGTTGCAGTGAGGTTAAGCTCTTATGATTATAGGAATCTAATTGTGTGTCTTTGTAAATCAGTTAAGATTTGTATTATTTGTAAGTGTAATCTCTGGATTGTTAATATATTTGTTACAGAAATGTTCTTCAGGAACTGATGGATGAGGCTTATCTGGAATATGATGCTTTGTGAGTAAATACTGTGTATCATAAGTACTGTACCATCAAAGTTCTATGCAGTTAACATGTTATTACTCAGCCCAACCTCCCTTAGTCACACCTCTTATTCAATATATCAACATTATCATTCTTCTATACACACTATTTATTGCATGCTCATATCTTAGAAGCTCACCTGTACTACTTGTGGGGCTTTTTGAATACAGTGGTCCCTCAGTTACTTGAACACAATTAGTTCAGAAGGTTGTTAGATTAACCGAAAAATTCCTTGAAACCATTGTTTCAATGGGTTTTTAGGTAATTGGTTCCAACTCACCGAAATTACATAAAGTAAATAATGCAGTAAAGTACACTTACTTTGAGATATTATGTAGAAGGCTCCTGAAGTTGATGATGCTGATGTGAATTTGAAGTGGGAGGTGGAGAGAGGAAGGGAGAAGAGAAGGAAGTGGGAGGTGAGAGAAAGCAATTCACTACTTCTTGAGAGGTAAAGTCCACCTTCACCCCAAAGAAAATCATCAGGAACCTCTGTTGACCAGATTCTCCAACGGGAACATCCTCTTGGAGTGGAAGTCTGAGGGTAGCATCTTTCCCGATGCTTTTTAGTGAAGAAACTGTCAATTTTTGTTTTGTTGGGCATTTCTCCTCCTCATCATTAGCAGTTGCACTGAAGAAGGAAGCACTCTGTCCTCAACGTACACGAAATAGGTTCTGTTGTTTCACATCTGGGTGCCTTGAAGCCAGTTCACTGAACTTATCAGTAGTGAACAACATCTTTCAAATCTGAAGTAGACATATGGTCATCACCTACCCTTTCCTCCTCACCACTGTCAGCTTCTAACATCTCATCCAGTTGCTGCAAAGTCATCAGGAGTAAGTTCCTGCTTTCATGAGACATCACAAGCACACATCATCCTCCTCCCACTTTGAGGCCCATTGACTGACCAATGGACACAATCTCTAGTCAACTCTGCTTCTTCCTCAAATCCCTCAAAATCATGTACTACTGATAATACAGTGCTTTCCATGCAGGGTAGGGGATCTGTCAGAACTTCTCGCCATGAGGACACAATCAATTTTACAGCCTCCAGGATGTTAAATTGTGTCTTCTATAACTGTGCCAGTGTTAGTTCAGGATCAGTGGAAGTTGCCTGATAACACCTCCTGAACATTTTCTTCATGTACAACCTCTTGAAGTTGTTGATCACATTCTGGTCAATTGGCTGCATGATTGATGTAGTGTTGGGAGCAAAAACAACACTTTGACAAAGTCAAATTGAGCCTCAAAGTGCTGGCACGTTCAGGGGTCATGACCAGGGCATTATCCATAAGGATAAGAGACTTTAAAAAGGGGAGTTTATTGGTGGTTAGAGTAGCTCTTCACAGAAGGGCAAAACCTTCAACAGCCCCATTCATTAAGAGCTGTCTTGTCACCCATGCCTTCACGGTTGGACTTCCAATAAACTCCAAGCTGTCCTCTTACCACCTTTTGTTGCTTTAACACCCTGGGGTTCTCAAGTGGTAGACAAGCATAAGTGAAATCTGAAGCATTGGCACCAAGCAATAGAGTGAGCCGGTCTTTCATGGGTTTTATGCTCCGGAGTAAGAGGCTTCATCTCTGGTGATGAATGTCCTTTTGGGCATTTTTCCCAGAACAGCCCAGTTTCATCACATTGAGCACTTGCTGGGAAGATAATTTTCTTCATCCACTAGTTTCTTAAACTCCACTACAAACTTTCCTTCTTTATCTGCACTGGCAGCCTCACTATGCCCTGTAACACTGAAAATGTCACTTCTTTTTTTAAAATTTTTCAAACCAGCCCTTGCTTGCCTGAAAATCTTAGGAACTCTGTGCCAGAAGAACCGGAGTTGATCTTCCTTTCAATGTTAAATAGAATTTCCTGGCTCTTTCACAAAATAAATTCAGTAGAAACTGAATCACCTTTCATTGTTTTCCTCATCCAAATGAAAGTAACCTCCCTGTTTCTGTTATCAATATCTTACCTTTAAAAACACTGGTGGTTGTCTCTCACTTTCACTTCCATGAACTTGTCTTTCTGTGAAAGAATTGTCATTACAGTTGATGCCGACATGCCATAGTCTTTACTAAGCATTTGTTCTAATGCCTTGTTCATGTTTCTTTATTAATTCCTGTTTTACCTGGATTGAAACTTTCGTTTCTTTGGAGCCATACTTTGGATTCAATTTCAACACAAAAATTTTAAGTTTTATTGCTGTAAATAAAGAATATTTTCTTTAAATTAACACTGCACTGTGCTATATATTATCAATATGTAAAATAAATTTCAAAATTACCAATAATTTCACTGTAAAACAGAAAAAATAGTGTATTCAGAGAGTCAAACAGATGTTCCCCATCCACTGAACAGAGACACAAACTGGCCGCCAAGCAATTGTGTTGAATTAGCTGTTTGGTGTGCTAAAACTAGTTCCTGGCCAACTTCAATTATGTTAAATAATTGTTAAAATTTTAATACAAGACTTGGAAAATTATTAAATAGTACAACCTTCTTGATATTTACTCAAATGGTAACGAATTTAAGCCCTAAAACCGATTACTGTATTGGCGAACTAATACTACAGTTGGTGAGCAGACGAAAGCGGGCGAAAACATGTTGGGAAACCGAATTTTTTTCGTTAACCGAATTGAATATTCTTATGGAAGGTAATTTGTTAACCAAAATTTCATTAACAGAGGCGTTCGTTAACCGAGGGATCATTGTCTTCACAAACTCATTATAATTCGGGTGCATCACAGAAATATGAACTATGCCTCTAGTAGAGTGTAGCTCACTCTCATTTTCTTATCTCTACTAACTTATTTTGAAGTCCAACATCTGTCCATCCTTTCAAGTTTGCATGTATGTATATATGTGTGTGTGTTGTTAAGAACTAAATATATGTTTTTAGTTTTATTTGAAAGATTTAAAAAATTTAAGGTGTCTGGCTGCAATGTATCAGCTGTTGAAAGGAGGTACACACTGTCAACAACCTGTTTAGTATTATAAACTGACCGTAAGAGAATTAAACACTATGTTTAGATATACTACTCATCAGTATTTTAACATGATATTTTTTCTGTTACAGTTCCCTATTTGAGGGTGTTATGAAAGGACTGGAACCATGGTATGTTGTCTTAGAACAATCAAGTCATCCAGATCCTCGCTCTACTTTATTAAATGCTCAGCCATTTGCTCGACCACAGGTTGGTGTATGATTGGAATTTGTTAGTCATAAGGACAAGAAGATATACACACTGTTCTGTCGAGTGTGTATCAAATTTTGTTCTCGATCTATATGACTAAATATACATCAGTTGTATATTGAGTCGGTGTTGTTATAGTATGTGATAGTTCTATAGCATTTACCACAGTATTTCCTTCCATTGCCAATTATGACTGAAGTTGCTTTCTTTTTCTAATATCTCTTTCTCTCTCTATTTCTGTCTATCTCTGTGTCTGGTCTGTCTCTTCCTGCTTCTATATCTATTTCTGCCTGTCTTGAATTTTTTAACTTTTGGGGCATCTGTGACTGTCTGTGCCTCTGCCAGGGGAGGACTCTGGGAGAGGAGGTAAGCATCGGATCTTCGACAGTGTTTACTGCTTCCTTCTCTTTACCAGAAGGCTCTTCGGGGGTTTATCAAAGACACTGGTAATAAATTTAAAAAATAGATATGCAAATTTATCGACTGTACACTTAAGGGGAGCTTAGGCTTTCTCTAAGAGGTGGTTTGGACATGTGGAGAGAAAGGATGAGAACAATTGGTGCATGAGCCTGAATGTTGAGGGGGAGAGACAGGAACAGGCTGAGAATGACAACACTGCTCATAGCTGCATCTGTACCAGCTGTTTTGTTATTGCCTGGTAGCATTAATTCGTATTTTCTTAACATAATTTTTGTTCACCTTTGTTTCCTATGAAAAATGTGTAAGAATTTGACAATATGACTTGAAATGTTTAGATTTTTAATAAACAGTTACAAAAAGAAATTAAGAAAATTACTAAGAAAGCTTCATGAGAATTATTTAGCATCTCTACCAACAAGCTGTAACCCAACAAAAGTTACAAAACCCGGGAACACAACACATGCCAAACAGATGTCTTGTTCCCGTACACATCATTACAGCAAGATTGTCTCCCACCTTATTCTTACTTAAAAAAAAAAAAAATATCAATACCTACTGGTTTACATTTTCAGATAATTAGGATTTATTGAACCTGCTTTGTTGTTAGGAAGTAAGAGATTTAATGTGTCTCTCGGCTAAACACCCATATTGTGGAACATTGTTTTATACGGTACAGTATTGGTAATTGTGAATATTTACTGGTACCTGTAGTATAGAATGTTAATTTTTTTTAAGAATAAATACTGTATTTTTATTTGAAAAAATGTGAGGAGGTATAAACTGTATGATATTAATGTTTTAAAGTGCAGTAGTGCTCAGGAAGTCCTTCCTTGTGCAGAATGTGTTTTTGTGCATGGCGACCTTTTTGGGATGACATGTGAAGAGAAAGATACACTCGGAGCTGCCAGGGAGTGATTTTTCTTTTGAATTCCTGACACATTGATCGTTAAACTGAGTCTAATTGTTTAGCGAAAACATTGACATTATGAAACTGAAGAATCGTAAGTTGATAGGTCATATATCAAGGGATGCCTGTATAGCATTATTAATATTGTTTATCAAAATTTAAATCTACAAGGATGCATTTTGATGCTCGTGTAAACAAAATGACATCATTGCAGGCAACATCAGTGGCATCTTTCTTTACATTATTTTTAGAAAAAACTTAAATAGGAAAAGTGCTATTCCTCCATCCATTTTTTTTTTTTTTTTTTTCAAACATCAGAAGTAACTTTTCTTTTATAGATATTTTTCATTGGGTGGATGGTTAACCTGTGCTACTACTGTAGCTTTAAATATTATTCTCTTGGTTTAGTCAGTGTCCTCATCTCTGAACAGTCCACTGTCCAAACATTGTAGAGGCACTGTGGAGTCCGTAACAGGATTGTAAGTCTTGATGTAATTTTATGCTTGTGTGTGTGTAATAATAATAATAATAATAATAATAATAATTAATGGTTTATTGTGAGAGCATGGCAGCCGGAAGGCTGAAAATATACAGTTACATAATTGGGGAATGGGTCACTTGATTGACAAAATTTAATAATATAAAAGTAACATAGATGATACAAATATGATATATAATAACTAAGTGTGGAGAAGGTTATACTATAGGGCATTTCAACACCGTGACAGTGCAAAAAGTTAAGATTGACTGGGAGTGAATACACTGGTTGATTATAAGTTGTTGATAATTTTTACAATGGTTGAGACTAGGCTGTTCTTGTAATGATCAGTACCTGCTCGTATGGGCTGGATGCGGTTGTGGTGTCAAACGGCAATTCGCGAACGAGGGATCTCGGGTAGAACTCGGAGCCGGTGTTGAAGATGGTGCAGAAGCTTCTCACCAAATTTGCAATTGAGGTCATGGTGATGATCAGAGAGAACCGAGAGGGTCAGTTTGTTGAGCACTTCTTGATATATGGAGTAGGAGGGGGAAAGAATAATCTTGCATGCCCTCTTTTGCACTTTTTCTAGGTACAGTATTTCCATTGTGTGGCATTTAGGGAGGAGGATCAGGCAGGGGAGGCATAGGTGAGCTTGGGAAGTATGAATGTTGAGTAAATACTGAGGAGCTCGGGCACAGGAACTCCGAGGGACTTAAGTCGGCAGAGGAGGTGGAGACGAAAACTGGAGGATTAGGCAACTGTACTGACGTGTGTTTTCCAATTTAGTTTATCTATAGTTACGCCAAGGAGCTTGGTGGAGTCTACAACCTGGAATGTGTTGGGGCCCAAAGTAATGGAGGGAGGTGAGACAAGGTCGGAGGAGAGGTTGATGTGCATAACCATGATCTTGGTATGGTTGATGGTCACATGGTTGTTGGTGGCCCAATTTTGGAGACTGTTCAATAAATCCTGGTGGGCGGTGTAGTCGGGAGCCAAGATGTTGACACTGATCCCAATGATGGAATCGTCGACATATTTCCAGCGAGCAGAGGTTTCTCTTTGGGCATCATTGATAAGCTTAAGGAAGCAGAGTGGTCCCATCTTGGTGGACACCACAGGTGAGTGACTGAAAAGTAGAGACAGCCCCTCGGAAGTGTATGGCTTGGCGTCGGTCACTAAGGGAAGTCTGTAAGCCATGGTATAAGACTTTTTCGAAACCCAAGGTCGATAGCTTTGTTGATGATTAAATTGTGGTCGACTAGGTCAAATGCTGTGGTGAAATCAATGAAGACGACAGCCACAAAAATCTTTCGTATTTCCAGATGGCAGTATATGTAGTCGAGAAAGCTGACAAGACAGTGAGTGGTGGAGGAAGTTTTCATATTGCTAAATTGCTGAGGATCTGTGGTGCCTGCAATATCAGCATAAACCCAGTCAAACCCAAAACATTCGCAGATTAAGCTGGGTATTGGGGTGATGGCAATGGGTCGTAGCTCATTTAAGGACTGTGGGCTCGTTGACTTGGGCACTGGTGACACATGTGAGGTCTTCCAGTCAGCTGGACATCTTGCTTGGATGAGGGAAGCATTGATGATGGAGCAGAGGGGGTTTAGCTAGTTCAGGGGAGAACTTCTTGTAGAGTTTCATTGGTAAGTCAATGGGGATGGTGGAGCGCTTCACTTTGTCCAGACATTTTACTACTTCAAATTCTTCCACTAAGTCAGTGGGAAAGGGGGCTGGTAGGTAAGCAGGGAGACTGGTTGTGTCAAGCCGGGGGAGCGTCTGGCATATAGTAGCGAAATGATTACTTGATTGCTCAGCTGCGTCACCATTGGCGAGATAATTAAGGAAGGGGAGGGGGTGTCTTATTATTTAGTCCACAGCGTTCTTTAAGCTTATCATACCAGTGAGTGATGTTGGTCTGCTTCGGGTGTTGCAACTTGGTTGGGTAGAGGGATTTCTTTGCAGTGCGTATTACATGGATGACTTGGTTGTGAAGGGACCTGTAGCGGATGCCATCTTTGAGATAAAAGGCGCTCTGTCTCTGTTGCATAAGTCTTTTGATTTGAGGTGTGATCCAGGGCAAGTCAGCTGGGTGTGATCTGATGGACTTCTCGGGGAAGAAGTGGTAGTGAGCTTCCGTGGTGGTGTTGGTATAATTTATCCATTTGGTGTCCACATCATCCACACTAAGTACTTCAGTCCAGAGGTGGTGAACTATCCACTGCCCAGAGAGTCAGTAATCAACCAGCAGGTTTTGATGTAGGGTCACTGCACTTGGCTGGTAGTGGGAGCTTGAGACCAGAACACTGATAAATGTGTGCTACACCCGATTTGAAACGTTGGTCGAGGTGGTTGGTACTGGTCCGCTAAGTCAGTTGAGATTAGGTCAAGGGTATTTTGACCGTGTAGGGAAGTTTACAGCTTGTATTAGTAGCAGTTGGTCCTGGATATTGGTGGTGACAATTTCATTATAATCCCTGTATAGTACTAGCTTGACACATAGGTACCTAACTTTGAGGAGGTAATGAGGTGATTGATAAGAGTATATCTGGTGGGTGAGCAAGGCAGGTGGTATGCCACACAGTATATGATAAAGGCAGTGTGGCGCGGGTGGGTAATTGGCACAACACGTACCCATAATTCCTCCGCGTCAGCTGGGACTAAACCATCCAGGCGTGATGGGTGTAGGTCATCTTGACAGAAGAGGGCAACGTTCCCTCCACATTCGTGTGAATGACATTGGCAGTGACTGATTGAACTGTGGTTGCCAGTTCATTAAATTTATTAGCTAAGGAAGTGACATTGGAGAACAGTAAGGAGGGGGGGTGGCAAACAGACTTGGCCTGGCTGCCAATCAGGAGCACCTGCAGGACATGTCTTATCTCACTGTGTGTGTCCATTCATACTTCTCTCTTCTAGATATATTGTATATTAATGACTTAACTGAACATTAATCCGTGCTGTATTTTCCTTCTATTCTTTGATTCTCATGTACAGTATTTAGATTGTCTGCTCTCTTATGCAGTATTTGTTTAGTTATTGTATTCATCATAGTTGAAAACTGTATTTTCTTCCTCATATTGTATCTGATCATAACAAATACATGTCACATCTGCACGAGGCTGCATTGGACACATTTTCCTTAGAATTAATTATATTTTTCAATATTTTTCACACAATGGATGACCTGAAATTTAGAAAAGATCTCAATGATTTCAGGATGTTGGCCCAACAAACCTGTTAGTTCAAAAACTAACAAGTATCCACGATCACCTTCTGCAGCGCCATGACCCAGCACTTTATGCGCATCTAGCACGCCTTGAAATACCTCCACAGATATATGGCATGTAAGTTTTATCATCAAGGTACTGTGTTTGAGTTATTTATATAAACATTTTAGAAACATTTTGATACGAAAGGATTTTCATCAGGGGGCAAATTAATGTTGTACAGCTTTATCCATCCAGTGTGTCACTTGTTATTATTCACAACAGGAATGTTTTTTCTTACTGCATTCATTTGACCACAATCACATTACAGGGGGTCCCTGGGTTACGAACGAGTTCCATTCCTGTGGACGTTCTTCAAGTCAGATTTGTACGTAAGTCGGAACACATGCCAAGTGTATACCGTACTTACAGAACAATGTTTAAAGTCCCTTTATATCATAACTTAAGTCCTAATATATTTCTAAATCACATAATTTAAGACAAAAGTAGAAATAGAATGAGAAATTACAGTTCTGTAAAGGAAAGTAAAAAATAAGTTGAGTAAATAAAATAATGTAAATTTCAAGTTTAACCCCGTTCGTACCAGCGGGCGTTCCTAATTGGGATGCTCAGTAGTCAGGGACCTCCTGTACTTGAGGTTAATTAACTCCTCAAAATACAAGTGATGACCATTATACAATGGGATTAGCAACTTTGAAATGCCATAGTAAGGTAATTGATCATATATTGATATTAATAACTTCTGGGGGAAAATAGGTTCAGTCCCTGAGACCGGGAAGAGCAAGAGTTATCACCCAGAGCAGTTATTTATCAACATACGTACTTAATTTATATATATATATATATATATATATATATATATATATATATATATATATATATATATATATATATATATATATATATCTATATATATATATATATATATCTATATATATTCATCCATCCATCATCCATCTCTATCTATCTATCGTATCTATCTATCTATCTATTCATCTATCTATCTATCTATCTATCTATCTATCTATCTATCTATCTATCTATATTCATTCATATATCTATCTATCTATCTATATATCATTCATATCTATATATATATATATATATATCAGAATAAAAAAAAATATTATAAGGTCAAAACATAAAGGGAATAATTTTTTTTAAGTGCATGGGATCACACACAGCAGCAAGGGAGGTGGGAGAAGAGTGGGGGTTCTCAGCTGTTCTGTCTAGTGTCCTGTGCTTTGTCACATGGTAGTATAATATTTTATCCTTTCTTTTATTTTTAGGCATTGACTGTTATCCGATGGGTCTATATACGCTCGATCAGTTTTGCGATGTTAAAAATTAACATCATTTACCACAATGCGATGGCTAAAGATCACTTTTACGATGGTCACTACCCGAATGCTTTTCCTGCATTGTCACTGCTATGAAAAAATTATATGCTTTAATTTTGCAATATTCCCAGATATGATGATACAATCTTGGAATGGCGTATCATGCAACCCATGTGGGATGTGTGGGATGTTCTGGATGTCTTCGGTGACTGCCAGTTGAACTGTGTCACATCACTCAGAGGATGGTTTGCATGTGGAAGAAGCTATTCTTTGTACATAAAATATATACTGTACCAGTAAATGTGAGGAATAAATCAAAATAATAATAATAAATAAAAGAACAAAATATTGCATTGCCATTTGGCAATCTTGTCACTGCCCCTTCTTCCCTCACTCTGTGCTAGCTCCCACACACATAATAAGTGTTTAAACCCTTTATGTTTATGACCTTATAATGATTATTATATTTTTATGCACATTCTGTGTGAATGATTGTGTGCATGTAACAGCAAAAAGAAATTAAGAAAATTACATCTGCTTACCTCACTCTGACAAGTCCTGTGGCACCTGAAGTTAGGGCTGTTAATTGGGTGGCTAAGTTTGCAAATCCAGGCACACAAAATTGGTAAAAAGAGGCAAACCCAAGGAAGGAACATGACTCCCTAATGGTGGTGGGAACCTGCCATTGCCTAACAGCCTCAATCTAACCAGGGTCCATCTCGATTCCCTTCTGTGACACTACATATCCAAGATAGGAAATCTTCCTCTGAAATAGGTTGCATTTGGATGGTTTCAGTTTCAAGTTATGTCCCTTTAGCCTAGAGAGCACCAGTTCCAGCCTTTCTATGTGCTCATCAAGTGTCTTTGAGAATATCATGAGGTCATCCAGGTACACTAACAGGGTTGAAAATATCTCGCTGCCAAAGATGCTCTCCATGAGTCTGAAATGTTCCGGGAGCATTACATAATCCCATTGGCATGCGTTTACACTAGATTAAATGTTGAAAACCACTTTACTCCTGCCAATGCACCAAGAGACTCATAAATCCTTGGGAGTGGAAAGGCATTCTTTCGCGTGGCTTTGTTCAGTTTCCTATAGTCCCCTACAAACGCAGTGACATATCTCGTTTCTTGACCAGAACAATTGGGGCAGCGTATGGACAAGTATAGTACTTTTCTGTATGACCCCCTGCTCCAACAGCTGGTTGATATGGTCCCTAACCATTTGTTCCTGGTCAGTCTTCAGCCATATTTGCCTTAGATCTTCTGGCATCTGCCCATCAGCTGGGCATTCTGTCCCCCATTCAATACTGTTTGAACTCACCTCAGCTGTTTCTTGTTGTGGACACAGATCGGCCCCACAAGCCACTCCAACATGCCAGCTTCACTTTAGCCATGTGCAGAAATTACCCACATTGGCCACAGTGGCAACCCCCTTACCATACCTAATGGTAGTGTATGAAGGGATAAGAAGGATGTTGTGAGGCAGCCACCCTTCCCCTGCCTGCATTAGCTCAATCAAGACTTCAAGTTTGGGACATTTCCGTAAGCTTCGGATGTAAATACTGACTGCCTGGCGACAGTTTGCGGGGATCCTTGTTGGTTTCCATCTAGTAGAGGAGGCAAACCCCAATTTGTCTTTCTGTGCCATCGGTGGATACTCTCAATCTCTTGGAGACACTTAGAAAAACTCTGTCTCCTTTTATAATTCTACAGTTAACATATTGGGGCCAAAATCCTTCACTAGAACTTCTCAACATTGGCTAAGTGCATTCATCCCTGGGGCCTTACTAGCAGCTCTCTGCTCCCCCTTCCTCACTAGAACCCCGTCCTGTTCTATTTTATGTCCAAGAATCTCAACACCCACCAACATGTAGCCCAGGTACGGTATTGATCCACCATTAGCTGCTTTCAACACAAGACCCCCTAAGGAATGTAATCCAACTCCCCTAGATTCGAAATCTCTACGACAAACTGTCTCTGAGACGAGAGACACCTCACTACCAGAATCCAGAAGAGATGCAACCGAGACTCCTCCTATCCTAACTGCAGTGACAGGAATTTTCCCCACCAGCCTGCCATTACTCTACTCTGTGTGACCAGCCCACTTGTTTTTACCCCTACTGGTGGGCTTCCTGCAGCAGGGGTTGGCCATTTCCTTCCTCCAGCAATTTCTGACATTCTTGTGGTCTTTACTCCACTTCTAGACTGCTGAGGGGCCTACCTTGGTGGACCTCCTCTCCCTTGACCTTGGTTCCGGTGCCAACAGGTGACTGCCCTGTGCCCCCACTGTCCACATACATGGCACTCTCCCTGGAATGGGAGTGGCCTTTCCCAGTTAAGATGCTTAACTTCTGGTGACCCCTTAATTTGTACTAAGTCTGTCTTCACAGCCTGAACATCTACTCGTAATTGGACAAGCATCTTCTCCACACCACTCTCTTATGGTACACTCTCATGGGGGGTTTAATGTTTCTCCCGCTTCCTTAACCACGGGCGAACATTCATTTATGGCTGTAACCACATCCTTAGATGGGTTCTTTTCCTTAATTGGCTGCTTTGTCATCTTCTTTGACTTCTGCAGCTTCCTGTACCAACTGCTCATAAGACAATCCAGGCTGGCCATGCACAAACCAACGTAGGCCATTCTCCAACCCTAGCCTAACCTAACCTAACCTAACCTAAGTTAGCTTAACTTAAGCCCTTAAGAAAAACCTCTCAGATTATCCGACCTAGTAGCGACTTGCGCTGGGGCCACTTCATCCGTCTCCTCATATAGCAGCTCAAGGGCATCTGAATAGGTCCATGCATTTTCCATTATACCCTGAGTCCTCTGATAAAATCTAAGTTGGAGCTCCCCCAACATCAGGTTTTCTCCATAAGTATCCTTTAAAACTGTGAGATCTCTTCTCTATCACAACTGTCACTCCAAGGCAGTTTCTCTACCCTCTTCTGAGCAGGACCGGTGAGAAATTTAAGAATATAGTTGACTGCCTTTCTACCCTTGTAGCCAAGCAACCTTATGTTACGCTTGGCCTCGGCTATCCACTCACTTACATTAATTTGGTCCAAATTATCAGGTGTCCCTGAAAAAGTCCTGAGCTTCATCTCATTGGCTACCACTTGAGAGAAAAGATCAACACTGTCCTCTTTGTGCGTAGGCTCACTTCATACTGTGAGACCCCAGTTTCCATTTTAACACACTTAGTGTTTACAGGTTTGTGAGTTTTTGTACTATGGTGATACAATTCACTTATCTCGTGTCGGCAGCCTTGGTCAGCCCCATCTTCCGAGCTTCTCAAGTCGATCAAATTCTCCTCTGGAATGTGGTGTGGGGATGGGTAACTCATGCTTGGCTTCTAGGTCCGTCCTCCTCTGTGTAGATAACTGCTTCACCAGTCCAAGCTCTCTTCTCCACTGTCGATCCTCAGCAGGTGGTGGTGCCATGCTCCTCCACAGGTGATTTCTGCTACAGTATAATAACTACTTCCTGGGTGCTGCTTGTTCTTTGCCCTATAGGGGTGAATCCTATCTCCACCAAGTGTAGCAAGAAACAAAGCAGTAAACTCCCATAGCAGGGATATGACACACACTTATGGTTTTCTCTCCTTTATTTACTCTAGAAATCACCCGAGGAAGGAAAGGCTGGGACCTAGATCAGACATAACTAGTTATTATATATTGTACTTACAAAACAAGCATCAACTGTTGTCATAATCACATATTGGCACAACACAGTAGTAGGAACTAAACAGTACATAATAAACCCAACCCGCCAGCATAACAAAGTGGGGTGGCTGCTCGGCGCCAACTCAATCGGGGGTAAATGTCTGTAGAGCAATGCCTGTATTAGCCTTATTTTGGCTTACAAACTACCTCCACTCGTTCATCACATTCTTCATATAACACTCATTATGCTCAACCTATTAAACACACCCTAACAGAGCTAAAAATACGTGGGGCACACCTGTTACTGGGCTCGGCTAACGCACTTAACATTGTTTTGGTACTATGTCGCTAAACTTTAGAGACCAAAAATTCGTTTAACGTCCTGGTGATCCGATACTACGTCATTTTGGGTTGTCACGGACTACTTTTTAAGGCGCATCTCCCTCTCTTGTCTGGCCACACTACGCTCTCTCAACTTGGTGCGCTGCCCTCACTCGCGGAACGTCACAGCGGCGCCAAGCCAGTCTCTGTTACGACTTCACATCATTCATGTGTGCTTAAGTGCTTTTGCCATAAATACTGTACTCTAACCATTCGAAATGGCTTCCAAGTGCCCATCAAGTCCTACTGATGCTAGTGTAGTGAAGAGGCAACGTAAGACCATTGCCCTTGCTGTGAAAATGGATATATTAACCCGATTTGAAAAAGGGGAATGTTCTGTGGACATAGCCGCGGTGCCTGGTCTAACCCCCACAATGGTGCGTACTATCCGGACCAACGCTGACTAGATTAAGGTTAGTGCTGGAAGTGGTTCTTCTCTAAGTGCTACTAAGACGACTCGTACTAGAAGCACTACCGTACTTACTACTGTGCATGTACAGTCTCGTTCAAGATTCTTCGAACACTGCTGGAGACAGCTGGCAACTCAAGGCTATTTTTTTACTATAGTACATAGTATAATATACAGCTGCTTCCTGACTTACGACGGGGTTAGGGACCCAAATCCAGGTCGTAAGTCGAAAATGCTTAAATAATACATAGAAAATCTAAAATGGGGGTGTCTTTCTTCTCAGCACCACAAAACTCTCACTTTTGGTATGACTGAGGCGGTCGTATGTCCGGGTGGTCGTAAGTCGGGGAGTAGCTATAATAAGAAATAACAAAGCCCAACCATTAAATTAAGCAACGGGGAACTAAGTAACCAATCACCGATCACTTTTACATACATTTAAAATTTTTACTACGTACTAAAGTAAACAAATGGCCTTGAGTTGCCAGCTGTCTCCAGCAGTGTTCGAAGAATCTTGAACGAGACTGTTCATATCATGTAAAGTAAATTAAAATAATTTTAATTCTGTGTGAATTTATTGTTTTTGTTTTTATTTTGTATACTGTAAATTTATTGATTGAATATCTATTTATAAATTTTAGTTAGTTAGACATTGTATAATCATTATAGCAGCAGGATATAAAACTTGTTTGGGATCTTCAGGGGCTCAGGAACAGAACCTGTTTTCCTCCATAAGCTATTAATATCGATTTATGATCGATCATTTATTGATGGCTTTTTGAGGTCCTTACCCCCTCATATAATAGTCATTGCCTGTACTGTATCTACCCGAAATTATGAGTTGGAAAACACAATAACATAGCTGACAACTCGTCCTGGTAGCTAGAGGGCTGGGGGATGTGGCTACAGTGACTAGTCTAACTTGATAACAATGCCACCAGCAATGTAACAGACACAAATAAATAGAAAATTATCTGTAAATTTTAATTTTTGTCAGGTATTTGTAGCTTTAAAGTTTCATATACAGTGAATGAGGTTCTGCTCTACATTTAGCAACATAAATAAGGAATCTTGGGATATAGTATGCAAGCCCAGGTTAAAGGAACTTACTGATAAGGTTAGCCTACCATCAGCATGTATTGGGTAGCTATCGTTTACCATAAATTACCCACGGAAATGCATGAAATTTTACCCCTCAAAAATATTGCGCGAATTTAGTTGACCCTCTATTTTTGGCATAAAAAATTAATCATAAGAACTTGCAATAGAGTATATATATATATGGTACTGTATTTACAATTTTATGTCGACAAAAGTGTGTGGCCCTTGAAGCTGAAGTCCAGACTGGACAAAAACCAGGATCTTGCTCAGGAGATGGATTTGTGTGCTTGCTTGTGACCAGAGGTACATTGACTGTTATTGTATGGAATGGGTTTTTTATGAGTGTAAGTGGGTTGATCTGGCATTCCATGAAAGACTGAGTACCCAATGAATGGCCATCCACTGTAGATTCACCCTAAAGTCTTTACACCTAGGAAAGCACCCTAGGAGAGAGGTTGAGTCTGTAGTACCTATAACATTAATATTGATTTCATTAACTCGTAGCAAAAAAAATAAAAAAATATAAAAATGGGTGTGCAACATGTTTCTTAATGTCAGGTTCATAGTGAATAATGTTTCAGAAGTGCTATGAGAGGTGCAATAGGGTGCTCCAGGTATGTCAGGTTTGGTACCATGGTTGTCTTTTTTCCCCCCGAGTGCCCAATTTTTTGGCACTAGGGTTAACTTCTCAGGGTGTTACATCAGATTTGGAGCATAATTACTTGTTGCAGCCTCCCATGTTTTTGCTAGTCTTAAATGCATGAGTCATCTAGTCGAGATCTTAGGTTATAAAGGGAGGTTTGATTACTGTGGAGACGGCTAAGCTAATTAGGAGCGTTACTCGTCTCCTGTAATGACTGAATCACTGATAGTTGAGTTGCACACTCCCACTGTTGCTGAGATGTCATGACCTAGTACTTTCATCCTTGAGTGGTAATATTGCCTCAAAATCCATTTTAGGGACTTTTGCATAATGGGAGTGTCAATAATATAGAAATTAATTTCCATTTACTATGTCAAAGGGTTACTCTAAATCTGAACCCAGAAGATCTGCTGCTACAATATGCAGGTCATCCAGTGTAAACTTGGTCTTAAAAAAAAAGGATTCCAGGAATCTCTCCTCTGTTTTTATGATGTTACTGAGGAAAGTTATAAAGTTCAAATTTAAAAACAGTAACATTTACTAAATAAAGTTTTCTTTTTCATATAAAAAGTCGATGGATTCGTCTGCTGTTTGGAAGGGAATTTGCACTACAAGATCTCCTGATGGTTTGGGATGCAATTTTTTCTGACATTCAGCCTACCTTTCCTTTAGTGGATTTCTTTACTGTTGCCATGTTGTCATTCATCCGAGAACCATGTAAGTAATTGACTCCTTGTATACAATATACACTTTATTAGGTATTAATGAGACAGCAGTTCTCTTAGAACAATAGATAATTGTTTAGTAACATTAATAACAAATTGGTAATGTTCACAAACAGCCTTGGTCATGAAACCTGTCAATATTGATTTTGCTGTATTTTAGTAATTAGATAGAAATAAATTAAATTTTGTTATGTTTGGGATGTATTTGTGGGCAACTTTTTGTATCTCTAGGTAAATATATATAAGCATGACAATACAGTGGATAGTGTAACCAGGTAATGAACTTTTATCTTGGGGGGGAAAAAACTTGTTCCACATTACTATAGTGATTTCAATATTTAAATTTGTATGCATTTATCTTTTATTTATCCTGCATTGAAATCCTGTAGGTCTTACAGGTGATATTAAACTTTTCTTGTCTTTGTAAGTTGTCTCCCCTCCTCCCCTCCCCCCCTCCCCCCCCATCCACAGGTCTTTGAAACCTTACCCAGTAATGTAACTGGAATCAGAATCAAGAGCAAAGACAGTCTTTCCCTTATTTATTCATTATTACTGCTGTTTCAGATGTATTCTACTATGGTACAGGTTGTACCTCTCTAGTCCGGCATTCTGTGGTCCGGAAACTCCCGTGGTCTGGAACGATTTTAGTTTGTCCAATAGGTAGATAAGCATTTTTTTTTTTTTTTTTTTTTTACTAATATTAATTATTATTATTATTACTGGAGTATTGCATTTTCGCCCCTCAGGCTCCAATGTGGGTCAGTGACCTGTGCCCGGGTGGGCTAATCCCCGTAAAAAAAAACAACAACAAAGCTGCGAGAAATTAAGGTTTGTTTGCATCTGGCAATTCGGCTCTCTCTCTCTGTTTGTCTATACAGTACAGAGTACAACATTTAACCCTTCAATATATATGAACAGTAAATAAGTGTTGCTTTCATATTCTTATGTAGAGTAATGACGATATGTTTTTACATGTGCTCACTTACATACACGCAGTATCACTTTTTTCTTTAACATTAATGGTTTGCTACTTTTATTGTTCTATTTATTAACATTAAATAACATTACTTAAAACAACCATATTAATTTTACTACAGCTACAACCAGGGTCTTATTTTCTTGTTTTATATGTAGAACCAATCAGTCACTGGTTTTGTTATCAACGAAAACAATGCTGTCTCATTTCCTCGTGTGTTTTAATATTCTACGTATTATTAATGAATTGTATTGCTCATTTTGCACACATAAACATTAATTCAATAAAAAAGACATTCAGTAATAAACAATAATGAATCTTTTGTACATAAGAGAAATGATGCTGTTTACACAATTGTGCACGTCGTCTGAATGTTGGCGAGCCGTTCAAACCCATCAAAATTCGAGTTTCCGCCGTCAAAATTTTAAATTATGTAGTGTTTTTTTGTGTCCAAATAAAAAACGGTGAATTAAAAACTCGTGAAATTTGAGAAGCTACTGTACGACATTTAACCCTTCAATATATCTTCAAAGAGACCACGAAGCAGTGAAAGTGGTGCTAACTTAAGTGCATGTCACTATCTGTCCAGGAAAAGGGTGAATTTCCATGGTCCGGCACCGGTCAGGTCCCGAGGTTGCCGGACTAGAGAGGTACAACCTGTATTCTGTTTCCACAACCAGGCTTTAAAAGTGAATCTATCTGTTGTACCCCTGTCAGTTTACATTTCCTTACACCACCTATAGGCTGCAAAAAACACCAAAACACCACGCTCTCTGTTCATTCATAACCAATGCTGCTTCCTAGATGTCCATCCCCCTTACTCTTAACATGTCATTTATCCTGTCCTTCCCATCTCTCTCTCTCTCATTCTTATATATCCACCTGTTAATTATGCTGTTCCAGTCTTTCACTTTGCATTCTCTCATGTTCATACCATCTGAGCAAGCTTGATCTGTTTTCTTTCCAACACGTGTTCACTTCCTTATCTCCTTACTTCTGGCTCTTATTCTCTACTTCCTATTCTCCTCACATACTGATATGTAACATAATTTCTGTTGCTTTTGGTTTTACCTTGCCCTGTGCCATCCAGAGTTGCATATACAGGTATCCCTCATTTAACGATTCTTCACTTAGCGATTTTTCAATGTAGCTATTTAAAATTTATAAGACCCATTCTCATTTAACAATCGTTAATTTTTGGTTTAGCTATCTGAGTCGCTGGGATAAAATCGGGAGGGAAGTCGGAAAACTGGGGATTCTGTGCTACAAGTGGACATCATTACAACATTGTAATGTGGCTTAAAAATAAAGAAAATACTGTACTGTATACTATACCGTAATAAAAAACTAAAAAAAAAAAGAAAAAAATAAGAAAAAAATTGGTGCGTATGTGTGGGAAGTGAATGTATGTATTGAGGCAGTGAGCTGTGACTGCGGCCAGCTGCACTCTTCCTCCTCTCTGTGATGACATACAGGTAGCTCTGTGGACTAACTGCCAAGCACATAAGAAATTTTTAGTTACAGTACTTTGTTTTTGTCTTTATGATATTTTTATTTAATTAATTTTTTTTAGTATATATATATATATATATATATATATATATATATATATATATATATATATATATATATATATATATATATATATATATATATATATATATATATATATATATATATATATATATATATATATATATATATTGTGTTGGCCTCACTTACTGGGTCAATTGAACCCAGAGGGTCCTGCTATGAACTATATGAACAACAGAACATATGGGATTACCAATAGAAACCGCCTGACCCCAAACTCACTTTTTGAAGGCAATACCTATGTTGTAGTAAAAATAACATCTTAATTTTATGATGGTACATAATAATACATTAAGAGAAATACAGTCGCTAGTTAATGTCCATTCAAATAATGGACTCAACTCCTCCCTCTCATATTCACACCGCTGGCTCTTCCTCTCAGAGAAATTTTTGGGGGAAAACCACTAAATTTTAATAATACCTCAAACTAAAGTTAGGATAATACAATTGACATTGCTGGATTCCTTGTAAGACCAGGAATATTTTGAATATAAATGTCATATATTTTGCACAAAAGATAACATAGTTACCTAGAGAAAAAATTGTATCTAAAATTTGTACCGTATATCACGGCCTATAAAGCGGCGGGGGTGCATAAACCCCCCAAATTTCCATTTAAAAAGTAGCTTTTGAGCTCTATTTGCTGTATAAGACCAGTACCCCAAATGTGACACTTACCCACTGACTCAGTAGTCCTTTACCAACCATCCTTGATTTTTTTAAAATAAGGCCAATTCACTTCAAGTAATGTCATCAAATTATACCGCTGGTGTAGTGTAAACACTAGTGGCGTCACTGAGCGTGTTGGAGGGTGTTCCTACGTCTCGGTGGTGTGACTATTTATACAACATGTGGTTCAACAGCAACCACGTATTCTAATTGTGGTGTTTCATTGATTTGAGTGAAAAAGGTTACCAGTATGTACTTACTACATACATTTATTACACAAATATATATATATATATATATATATATATATATATATATATATATATATATATATATATATATATATATATATATATATATATATATATATATATATATATATATATATATATATATATATATATACTAAATATACTATGTACAAAATGGATGTTCAATGAATTATTTATGGTGCATTAGGGTACTGGTCACTTCTGATGGGCTATAAATAGCCTTCTTTATCTCTACATCTCACCTGAGCCAGACGGAAGGGTCTTGGTAAATAACATGTTTGCTTATTTTCCATTTACTTTAAATAGATTTACGAATTATTTGTTTTATTTATTTATTTATAATATACTGTAATATATTAAACACACTGTAATTATTTTCTTTAATTTAAAACTGTTTTTGCGACAAAGGAATGTTCTCCAGTAGTGTTTCATTAGGATTTGGTGAAAAATATTCGTACTTACACAATTGTTCCTCTTACTTTGACAACACAACATACATACAGTATATTATTTCTCAGTTTTGATCTTTTTTTAATTTTGTATTTATTTATAGTTAGTTACTTAAAATAAAGGCCAATTCACTTCAAGTAATGGCATCAAATATTACCAGCTGGTGTAGTGTAAACACTAGTGGCGTCCTTGGCGTCTGTAATTAACCGTCGATAGTTTCAAGAATTAGCACTCATTTACTGAATATTCTTTGTAAAAAATAAATTTAAATCAATTATTTATAGGAGATAAATATTATTATGAGTAAATATACCGATACCGGTATGCATTACTGACCACCTCCACGGCTCCTCACTGGCAAATGGGGCGTGGGGGGCGTGGGGAGGTGTGTGATAGCTGTGTTTATTATAGGGGTATAAATCTCTTTTACGGTATGTTAGACAGGTTTATAATACATTTTATTATTTTAATATACCGATAATCTTAATTTGAATCCAGCTTGCCAAACGTAAGTTTCAGTATAAAATAATTAGTGGTAAGACCTTGTGGTGGCTACGATGTTTTCATCACCACTCTTGACACACTAAACCACAATATTTAAGAGGTAAGAATTTTAAACTTGGTTTTAGGCGACCCCTAACTTGGGCAGATTTTTTAATGTTCAAATTTCGTCTTAGGCATTATATACGGTATGTTTAATGAAAAATATATGATGTTTATATTCAAAATGATCACCAAATTATAAGAATTCCAGAAATGTAAATTATATTCTGACCGGGTAATTTGTATGAATTTTATGAGCTAAAACAAATATCTTCAGTTAATAAAAAAAAAAATAATCTTCACAACACTATCTGTCAATCAAAGTACCCCACCTTGCCTCCCCCCTCTTCCAACCGCGCGGTCAGTCCCAACCCTCCCCCCCACCAATCCTCCCTTCCAGGGTTTTTAACATTTAGTATTAAATAATACCTCAGATTAAAGTTAGGATAATATAATTGACATTGCTGGATTCCTTGTAAGACCAGGAATATTTTGAATATAAATGTCATATATTTTGCACAAAAGATAACATAGTTAATTTGAGAAAAATTTGTTATCTAAAATTTGTATGTCTAATGCAAAATATATGATGTTTATATTCAAAATGATCATCAAATTATAAGAATTCCAGCAATGTAAATTATATTCAGACCGGGTAATTTGTATGAATTTTATGAGCTAAAACAAATATCTTCAGTTAATAAAAAAAAAAATAATTCTTCACAGGGTAACAGATGGTCGGTCGGTCCCTCCCCCTCCCCACCCCCCCACCAACCGTCCCAAGGAGATGTGTGGGATAACCACTAAATTTTAATAAATAATACCTCAAACTAAAGTTAGGATAATATAATTGACATTGCTGGATTCCTTGTAAGACCAGGAATATTTTGAATATAAATGTCATATATTTTGCACAAAAGATAACATAGTTAATTTGAGAAAATTTTTTATCTAAAATTTGTATGTCTAATGCAAAAATATGATGTTTATATTCAAAATGATCACCAAATTATAAGAATTCCAGCAATGTAAATTATATTCTGGCCGGGTAATTTGTATGAAATTTATGAGCTAAAACAGGCAGTCAGGCAGGGTGGGGCAAATCTAAAAATAGCGTCTCGAGCCGGACACTCGCCACGTATATGTGGAAAAAATCCGTGTTAAGTGAAAGTTCAGCTCTGGCGAGGCACCGCGTATATGATAAAACGCGTTAAGTGAAACCGCGTTAGGCGGGGTAATACTGTATATATATATACACACACACAGTTGGGTCTCACATTACGCGGTTAATGTAACCCGGAGGGTACCGCGGAAAGTGAGGAACGCGTAAAGTGAACAACATAACATATGGGGTTAATTGAAATGGAGTCCGGGCCGATCCCCAAACTCCACTTTTTGACGACACACAACTATGTTGTAGTAAAAATATTATCTTAACTTTATGATGGCATGCACACACAATTAATAATTAAGAGAAATATCAATAATATTAGGTTTTTTAACACTTACATTAGTAGAAAAGATGGCTGGGCACACGGGGATGGGCGGTTGGTTCCGAGGCAGAGGGCAGATTATTGGCCCTCACCTGTATCACTTGTATCAATTGTATCACTATCCACCACAGAGGCTTGCAGGGCCTCTTTGTCAAACCCCCCAAAGTTCATATAAATCCATATCCTCACTATAATTATCACTATCACTGACTTGGGCCGGCTGTAGTGGGTGGCGGGTGAAGAACTGGTAATGTTTTGATGACTGGGCGACCTTGTGCGCACCATTTTCGCGCCTCTTACCTAACATGGCGGATGGCGGGAGGTTTGGATCAAAAAATGGCGTGGCTTGCCAGCCGCTCTCCGCGTAATGGGGTTCACGACCGCGGAATGTGAGCATGTTAGGTTCCGGCAGGGCACCGCGTTAACGGTGAACCGCGGAATGCAGGACCGCGTAATGTGAGGGTTGACTGTATATATATATATATAATTTTTTTTTTTTTTTTTAATTCTATATGAACAATTGGTTATTCATGTAACAGAATACAGTAAAAGAAAATGAAGGAAATTGCATACATTGTACAATATCTATGTACCCAGAATTACGAGTTAAACAATAACATAGCTCACAGCTCAGCCTCACCCACTCTGAATGCTACTGGGTGGCGAGTCAGTGACTCAGCTACACAATTATGTGTCTTCTCCACAGATATTATTCTGCGTTGGCCCTTGTTTAGGATCTTATTTTTCGTTATTCCTCGTTCAGTGATCATTTCGCTTAACAATCGGTTTTCGGGAACGCATACTAATCGTTAAACGAGGGATACCTGTAATAACGTTGGCTCAAGTTAAAATGAATACTATATTATTTTGTCTCTGTGTTGGAGGACTTTCATTGAAGCTATTAGAATCTGTTCAAAATTAATTTAGTAATACTGTATCTTTAACCAGTATTGGCAGGTGACTACACTACGTGCTTAAAGTTTCTCATGCGGTACCCAGCTGCTGCTGATGTTCAGTACATCATACAACTGGCACTTCATCTTCGTAATCCTAAAGTATGTAGATTATGCGATCTTTTTTGTCTATTTGACTGGTGTAGGACAGTACTGTAATTGTAAATAAATTTGAATATTTAGGAAAATGTCCAGTTAGGGAGATAATAAGAAAAGCAGAGGAAGAACTGAGTACAGTAGGATCTCAAGTTTAGTGACTAATTGGTACTGATTTAACGTCGTGAAATGCAAAATTGCCAAACGGGTGACCCTGAAATACTGTACATGTAATTAAGCCACCCAGAAAATTACATTACTGTAATGTATTAATGTATATTTATATTGTACGTATTTTTTATAAAAATATTTATATACACTCATACTGTAGAGTAACTTACCTTGATGGAGTTAGTGAAATGCTTGACGGGGCTGGTTGATGGGTTACGAGGCAGGAAGGGCTGGTTACTGCTTCCTCCCTGCTCCTTCCTCTACACCTCCTCTAACTTCATCATCAAATCCCTCAAAGTCTTGAGGTAGCTCTTCCACCAGTAAGTCACCCAACACTTCAATATCTTCAGTGGTGCCATCATCATCATCTCCTCTTTAAGTGATGTTTGCTAAGGCATTAACAGATTAGGCCTTGTGCAGGTACCGAGTAATAAGGGCCTGCTGAAGAGCATTAACACAGGACATGTACAGTTGCTAAAAAAAAGTATCTGTGCATACTCTGTGTGAAACAATATGAGACCATGGACGATAGGTATTGGGATATGCGAGTTGTCTCCTTTTACTATAAGAGAGTAATCACTTGACTGATTGTTTTTTCCTATATGCCAACTCACTCTCTGTGTTGGATACTGAATGGTGGTGGATGAAGACACGCATACCAACCCTCCCGAGACACCATGAGTTGTACGTATAATTTCGGAAGTCATCGGACTCACCCTGTCAGATACTTTTTTTTAGCTACTGTACATGGCCTTATATTCCTCCATAACATTATCAATGGCAGGGCAAATATGGTTATGAGCTTGAGGCTTGGTATCATATTCTTGTAGCTGTTCACCGAAACGTGCGATGTTAGTCAGCTGGCATGTTGTAGGTTCACCAGGCTTATCATAATCCTCTTGTGTTGCTTGTTGCTCTTCTTATTCTTCATCCTCCTCCAACATTTCTTCAGTTGTCAGTTGCTGCTGATGTTGACGAATGATTTCTTGCAAATCTTCAACTTGAACTTCCCAAAATCCTGGTGCTGGCTGGGACTAACCGCGCTGCCTCCACTGTGTCCATTAGTGTTGCCACCACAGACTGCCTCTCCCCGCTTGCCTTGGTCTGCTCAGCCTCACTTACCTCGGGGTTAGCGAACGAAGTCTTCCACGCATGTAGCACTGTTACAATATTAATCTTACGCCATGCCTCAACAACTCTGTCCACTGCATTTTTGATGTCATATTTCTTCCAAAATTCACAAATTGATAACACTTCATGGTTGTGCAGTGGTGCGTGTAAGGTACTAGGAGTCAGGTCGTCTACCATCTCCTCCTCCTGGTTAGCTGGTGCTGGTGGTAAAGCCTGGGTACTGCCTCAATTTGTTGCAACTCGACTAATGAGTCTGTCTGCTGACGAAAGGAAAGTCTTTATAGATTGACTGATAGTAGAACAGTTTAACGTTACTGATGAATTCGTGGTCAAGTGGCTGCAGAAGCGATGTGGTGTTAGGAGGAAGATAACTTGTACATAAGTGTCCAGGAGCATTATCCATCACCAGGATCACTTTGAAGTTAATGTTTTTCCTCTGGCAATACTGTTGGGCATCAGGAACAAAGTGCTTGTCAAACCAATTGGTCCATAAAAACGCTGTAACCCAAGCTTTCTTATTAGATGTCCAATAAACATATTGCCATGATGGTAGGCTTTAGGATGGGCAGCACGGTTAACAACCAGGGGTTTCATCAAGGAATCTCCACTTGCATTAGCTGTAAATAAAACTGTAATCCTGTCCTTTGAAGTCTTTACACCCCTTGTCTGTTTTTCATCCTTGTCAGTGAAAGTGGTCTCAGGTGAGTTCTTCCAGAAAATACCAGTTTTGTCACAATTAAAGATCTGGTCTCGGTTCTAACCACCCTCTTTCACAAGAGCTTGAAGGACATATAGTTATTTTTCTGCTGCTACAACATCAGCTGATGCACTCTCCCCATGGTAGTGGGCAAACTTGACTTCATAACGCTTCTTAAAAGCATCCAATCAACCAAGAGAAGCATTGAACGGTGGTGGAGAGTTATCGCGGTTCTTCTGTGCAACTGCAGCATAATAAACATGTGCTTGATGCCTTATCTGTGGCCCAGACAGGTCGCCCTGCTCACGGTTTCTTCTTTCCACCCACTTGTGAAGGTAATGTTCTGTGATAACAAGCAGTAGGTTTCGTTGAGAAGTATTGGAGAACATCCTGTTGCTAGAAAATCTTGAGATACAGTCACAGAAGCAGTTAAGGTTTTTTGTTCTTCTTAAGGGAACGTATGGTAGATTATGGGCAGTTGAACCTACGCACGCTTTCACAGGTACGAGCATCATTTTTTATCATCTTGGGCATCTCTTGTTTCTTTTCAAGGGTGTATTTCCTCTTCTTGACCCCCTTAGGGTTGTCAAAATTTGGCATGGGGCTTTCCTTGTTGACCAGGACGACTGTCATCTTCACCTTCTCTGTGGCCGTCATTACCACCAGAACCGCTCCCTACATTTACATTATGCACCTCACTCATCGTTAATATACAAGAATCTCGCAAAATGTAAGCACAATGGGTTATATAATCCAAGGTCACTGCGCCACTCTCTCTCGCTCATTCAAACTGCCGTAAACAAAAAAGACAGCGGTTAACAAAAGGACTTCATTAATGTGCGCTGCCCACTCTCCCTCGACTCGCAAAACCGGCAATGAAAATCGTTAATCATGAGAAGTTGGAAATTTTAAGTGCCCCGAAACACATGAAATGTAAAACTAAAATCACTAAACTAGAGATCCTACTGTATATGTTAGAGAGGCACCCTTAGTAAAGACTATATTGAATTATGTAAAGATATAATTGCCTGGAAATCATGTATATGACACACCGCTGGATAGTGGGGAAACTTTTTATGGAATATACAGTGTAATGAATTCAAATAAATTGAATCTGATTAATATTTACTTTGTAGCAGTTTCCAAGACCAGCTGGATATTCAAGTACAGTTCCACATCACATCCCCACTGTTGGAGGTCGACCGGATGTCCATCGTGGCCCCCAGCCAGTAGCACCATCTGCTACTTTTACAAGATCATCTAGTGTTCCTCGTACACAACAACACGTTGCTTCTAAAAAGACATCGGAACAAATTTCACATAATACAGGTTCATTACGGAGGTTATCATCCCCCAATGCTTTTACTGATCCTCTTGATGGTAAGTAGAAAATATTATATTTTTTATCCTTCAATTTGTTTAACTTTAAGAATACTGTACTGTAGTGTGGTAGGAATTCATCACATTATATATATTACTTTAGAATATCTGGGCAGCTTGATTGTCATTGGGAGGTGGGCATAAGGCTTCTCTGTTTACTACAAGCATGTAGTGCTTCTTTCATTGTTTTTCTAAGTGCAGTACCTGAAAGTCTCATGCTAAGACGGCTTTAAGATTTGTATTATCTGCATGTACTGTATCAATATGCTTATCTTCCATTCCCATTATGTACTGTGAAATTTAATTTTTCTGTATTTTTTGTTTATGGTAAAGCGTTACACTGAATGGCATTGAATGAATTCAGACCTGGGGATAATGCTTCATTGTTGTTGCTTAATGCTCTAAGATTACCCTTAAATTTGTCCATAATATGTACAAATTTAGTAAAAGCCAGGAGTGGTTTTTATTTAAATACAGGTTTTGATATTGTAGTTGAAAATTAATGTAAAAATCTCATTTGTAAATACTGTATTGCTACTGCAGAAGCCAAAACCTGTATTATAATTTTACAATATTTGGAACTACAGCTGCTGTGATCTTCAGCAATAGCCTGAGCAACAGTAGAGGTGAAGGAACAAGTGGTTGTGATAGTAGCAGCACTAACAGTAGTGTTAGTAACAATCAAGGAACTACCAGGGCCAGCAAGGTTGTTTCTGGATTAGTGAGACTTGGCGGTAAACTCGGAAGACCTAGAGATCTGCCGGTCTCACGGCACCTGTCCATCCAGTCATCCCCGACTCCATCACCTGGCACAGGTTAGAATGTTCAAAGTAAATGAAGATTTTCAGTATGTGAACATTAGAGTCGTCTGTGGTTAAGCTCTTAATTTTATTCTAAAGAGATGAAGACTTGTATTGTACATTTATTTTATTTTTTGTTAGTGATTTTAGTGTTGTGTAAGGAATGTGGCAGTTGAGTGGATATAGCGCTTGCCTCCTGTTCCAAGGGTTGGCAGTTCGATCCCGGGCGCTCGCAGTCCACCCAGCTGTAAATGGGTACCCAAGTTTACAACCTGGGGAAGTGAATGCGGCCGAGTGCAGTACTGGCCATGATGCCTCTTTGTGTACCAAAGGCTTAGTATAGCACAGTTTGTCATTGATATCACACAGTTATGGACAGAGCTTCTGGACAACCACATGGTAGCGGTGCAGGGTAGAGGACAAACAATGCATTGTTTACCTCTTACCTTCAATATTAAATTCAAATAACTGCTGCGACAATTATTATCTTATTAAAGGACATAGAACAAATTACATTAAAGTATAACAGCTGTCTGCATATGAACTATATATTTCCATTGAGATGTTTGTCTTCTGTTCTGATGTTGCTGTGTTGCTGCTACGCTGTTGCCACATTGTCTCAAATTTATTTTTAGTAACATTGATGAATGACAAACTATACTATACAGTATACCAGTGGTGGGCACGGTTCCGCTAATCCGCTAACCGCTAATTAGCGAAGCTAACTTTCTCGTTAGCGGATTAGCGTTTTCGCTAACTTTGGAAACCATTAGCGGACCAATTAGCTTCCGCTAAATTTAGTTCCGCTAACAAAATTTATACATGTTTGTTCCTGTTTGTTGTAAGTGTGTGACGCCGCGACAGTGTCTCCAACAGCCAGTCAGGCACGCTTGGCTGACTGCGTGTTAGTACGTGTAAAGTTTAGAGTTTTCTGTTTATTTACATGACTAAGACCAACAATAAGTTATATAAAAATGCACTGGTATAATGTGTATGTGGTTGGTATTGCATATTTACATGAATAATGAAGAAGGCCGATAGGTTGTATGGGAATGAAAATTAATTATTTGTGAAATTGTGAAGTGTACACCTTGATAAGTCGATCATCATCTGATCTTGGCATGATGCTATTTGCTACCTATGCTATACAGTATTATAGTTTTTTGATTCGTTTAATACTTTGTCTTTTCGTACAGTAAATAAAGATTATAAAGTGTATGTTGAAATTTGAATGTAAACTAATGTTTAATTTTATTTGTTCATTTAATTATTTGTGTACACCTTGATCATCATCTGATCTTGGCATGCTATACCTTTTTGGAAAGCTCTATGTCTAAGCTACAAGACAACATATGAAAATTTTAGCTCTCTAGGTCTGTTCTTAAGGGTTTTAGAGGCCCCCCCCTAAAAAAAAGAAGCTAAATCCATATAATAAAAGTTAGCGGTTAGCGTTAGCTTCCGCTAATTTTTTTAGCTGTTTAGCATTATCGAAGTTAACTTTTTAGTTAGCAGATTAGCAGTTAGCGAAGCTAACTTTTTAGTTAGCAGATAAGCAGTTAGCGAAGCTAACTTTTCGTTTAGCTGTGCCCACCACTGCAGTATACTGTATTCACACTGTCCCTAATGGGCAATCATGCCTATGAGACCTACTTTCACTTTCAAGGCATGGGGTACTCCACTTAGTGAGTGGAGTAAGGTTGGTAGACATAGATACAGGAAGACCTCGACTTATGGAAGGGTTGTGTTCCAGAAAAAACGCCTGTAAATAGGAAACCCATAAACCAAAGCAGATTTTACCATTGACTTTTATAATTTGGGAGATACATACATTCTTATAAAAAAGATATTTCTCCAGCAGGTAATAAAATGACTAAACATGTGTTTAAGCACTTATTTAAGGTAAACAGGAATTCTAAATGCAGTAATGACAATCATATTGTACATTACATGCAACAGTGATAGGTTTAATCCAAATTAAAATGTATTTTTATGTCAATTATAAAAACATCCAATTTTTAGTTAGCTTCAGCACTAATGTTTACATAATCAACATCACCATTTTATCAGCTGAGATAACCTGGGACATGGTGTTCCGGTGACCATCAGGCAAATTTGAACCAAGTTTTAGTTACAACTGGTTGCCCCTCCTTTTGCAAACCGACTTTTACAGAATGGGAACTGACCATTATTATGTAGGACTTCCAAGTGTCCTCTTAGCTGGCAAGACTGGTTCGCTACTCCCTGAGGTAATTAAAGATTACCTGCCTACCAGGGGCTAGAACATTAATGCCTCTCAAATCACTGTGTTCTTCATTATTACTATTGTTATCCTGATCCATATTTTTATTTATCATCATTATTTCCTTATTTTTCTTCTACAGTATTAGGCCGATAAAGCAGGTGCAGTAGCCTTAAGTTATTCCTCGTGATAGGGACCAAGAACATTCACGAAATAAATAATTACAATGTAAAGATATTGATTCGATACAAAGTAGAGGGTTAGTTATTGGTGGTCCAAAAAATTCACTATTCAATGTTGCTAAACACAAGCAAGAAATTTGCAGGATTCTAGTATACCATGGAAAATTAAAGAAAACTGTACACACAAAAAAGAGAAAATAGGACAATACTGTACTGTACATCACAGCCTGCTGCCTCCGACTGACCCAGCGTCCCACAGATCTGGCATACAACCGACTTCTGTTTCTTATGCCATAGTCTACCCACTTCAACACATACACAAAAGCAAAACAACCACAAAAATTTGGGGAATTTTCTTCGAGAATAGTCCAGTTTCACCACAGTTCCAGATTTGATCAGAAGGGAAGCCACCCACCTCTATCACTTTTTTCAATTCTTCCTTCACTTTTTCTGCCACAACTGATGCAGCCTGCTCAGTAAGAGTTGTGCAGCATAGCTTAGCATGTTTAATGAAGCTGTAAAGCCTGGCTTGGCTTGCTTTGAATTTGCTGTCATCGGACGGCTTGCCATCTCTCCGGCAGCCAAGCTTGAATTTCCATTGCTTCAACTTGAATCATTGGACCACTCAGTACAGCATTACTTCATTGCCTGCTTGCTATTCAGATCTTCAAAGGATCCTCCATTTCTTAGTTGAGTGGTAGCATTAAATGCTGCATGGTCTAGGAAATGGATATGCTGTATGGTTTTTTGTTAGCCTTCAACCTGATGCTGTGAATCATGCTTTCATATACTCCATTTTGGTTTACAACAACTGACTCATTTCAAGGTTAATTTCATCCAAAATTTAAAACTTTCTCTTCTAAATTGAACATCGTTTTTTTTTTCTCATTTGAACCGAAAAGAATAGCAGCTGCTGAGTATTTAGGAATTTTGGTAAGTGGTACACTTGGTAAACTGGAGGGGAATCCCAAGAGTAAGAGCAATTGCCTCAGTCTGAATGATGCCCTGCTGGGAATGTGTGTGTACAGTACTCAGTAGTTGTATGTATAGGCATGCCCGTTGATTTAAAATGCTTCCAGCCTGGTTTTTCTCGCAAAATGAAAAATATTTTTGCAATATAGTATATATAGAGAATTTGTTAGTAATTTAGGTAACCTAACCTAACCCATGGCTACTGTATCACAATCACTGCCACAATCATTAATATCATTACCAACATTGCCTAGTTTAGGATCACTGCCCTTGTCACTCTCCCCTTTTGTTAGGCCAATAAAGCAGATACAGTATTACAAATATTGTCAGTCTTGTAAATGTGCTGAGGTACTGTGGTATAGGCAAGGTAGAATCCGAGTTTGAATCTTCATCTGTTTCTGGAACCATTTTACAACAATTGGGGTATATTGTCATCAACCACTGTCTCTATCTCATTGTCACTTAGACATATTTTAAGGCGATATGATAGAGGTATATAAATGGAAGTCAGGGTTAAACAAAGGTTATATAACAAAGGTACTCAAACTATCCAACCAGGAGTAAACATGTAGCAATGGTTTTAAATTAGACATATTTAGAATTTGGTAAGAGATAGGTAAAGACTGGTTTGGAAATAGTCATGGACGAGTGGAACAAGTTACCGAACTTCATCATCAACTCGAACACGCTGGATAGCTTCAAATATAGGTTGGCCGGATATACAGTATGAGCGATAGGGGTTGGGTGTAAACGGGACTGCCTAGTACAGTGAGTTCTGCTATAACGCGTGTTTTGACAACGCGAATTGGCTCTAACGCGATTTATGAATAGAAGAACGATATTTGTAAAACGCGAACGCTTGTTTGCTGTAACGCGATTTTTGCTTACTATTTCTCCAATTTTGTGGTATTAACTGTGAATATGGAAAAGAAGAATATCTCCAAAAAGCGTTCTGGTGATCGCATTTCCGGTGGTGATCGTAAAAGAAAGGCTATAACACTTGAAGAGAAGCTCGATGTTATCAACCTCAAAATCACCCTTCTCCCCCATCAAGTTTTATTCATATTTTTTCAAGGTTAAGTGTTACATTTAATGTATGATTTCATTATTAGATATGAATGTAACATTTATTTACACTGTGCTATCCTTTGTGTTAGGCTAACTACTAATTTTTTTCAATTTCGAGTAATCTGCACGTAACCCTATTTTTTCCATAAGCCCTGTTATTTCTATTGCGCGAATTTCTATAACACGATGTTTTACAAGAACACAACTATCGCGTTATAGCAGAACTGACTGTATGGGCCAATAGGTCCGCTGCAGTTTCCTCCATTCTTTTGATCAATTGATATCCGTACATGTACTGTACAGAAAATAGATTTTCAGAATATATACTTCAAGCTCTTCAAAAATCTAGCCACACAGTTCTAGAGTCTAGACAACACTGTTAACTGTTATCTATCCTTATTCAGTGCAGAACACACTCAAATGCCTGTGTGAGCACTTAAGCATCTTCAGATGATGCAAAGAAAATGTAAAATAAAGAAAAGAAAATTATGTCTATAATGTACACAGTATACTGTACAGTATTCCCCCAGGTTACAGAAGGGATGCAGCCTTGAAAAGTTGACTAATGTGTAATTCTATAATGTGAATGAAAATAAACATTTTAATTTTACCTTTATCCTCTTCACCACTGATTGGCTCATTAGGCACTTGAGGGGTCATTCACATTTTTTATAAGCACTGTTGGCAAGTACTGGGCATGCACTGACTCCTGAATATACTGTATCTGAATTTGCTCCAGTGTTGGTCAAGTCTGGTCTTGAAAGAGCTTGCACTCAGTGTTGTCACAACACTCTGGCAGATTGAATTTAACTCGCCACAAACGATGTTGAGTGCTGGGAGATGTAGCAAGCCCTAATGTTTTTGCAATCTGCCTAAGTTATTCTCCTGCACCAAAAAACATTAAGTGTTATATCCAACATAATTCCTTTACAAGCTCTTTTAGCCCTATTGCTTTCACTTGGCTTCTTTTCACTCCTCTTGAATAAGGGTAATACACTGGACAATCTTAAATAAGATACAGTAATACCCCGATTTACGCGGTCAATTGAACCCACAGAGATCCATGTAAAACGAGAAACGCGTAAATGGAATAACAGAACAAATGGGATTAATTGAAATAGAGACTGGGCCAACTCCCAAACTCCACTTTTTCCGACACAATACCTATGTTCTAGTAAAAATAACATCTTAATTTTATGATGGTACGCACACACAATTAATATTTAAGAGAAATACAGTCGCCAGGTTAATGTCCATTCAAATAATGGACTCGACTCCCCCCTTCCCCCCCCGCCTCTTCCCACGCTCGCTGGCTCCTCCCTCTCTGAGAAATGTTTGGGTGAAAACACTAGATTTTAAGGTATAGTAATAAATAATACCTCAAACTAAAGTTAGGATAATATAATTGACATTGCTGGACTCCTTGCAAGACCAGGAATATTTTGAATATACACGTCATATATTTTGCACAAAAGATAACATATTTGCTCTGAATAAACAAAATTCTTACATTAGATCTAAAATTTGTATGTCTAATGCAAAGTCTATGATGTTTATATTCAAAATGAACATCAAATTGTAAGAATTCCAGCAATGTAAATTAAATTCTGGCCGGGTAATTTGTATGAATTTTATAAGCTAAAACAAATATCTTCAGTAAATAAAAAAAAATATACTTCACCCAAACACTATCTGTCAATCAAAATACCCCACCTCCGGCCCCCCCTCTCTTCCCACGCTCGCTGGGTCCCTCCCTCCCTCCCTACCAGAGAAATGTTTGGGCTAAAACAGTATATATACATTTTTAGTAATAAATAATACCTCAAACTAAAGTTAGGATAATATAATTGACATTGCTGGATTCCTTGCAAGACCAGGAATATTTTGAATATACACGTCATATATTTTGCACAAAAGATAACATATTTGCTCTGAATAAACAAAATTCTTACATTTGATCTAAAATTTGTATGTCTAATGCAAAATCTATGGTGTTTATATTCAAAATGATCATCAAATTGTAAGAATTCCTGCCCAATTTCCATCGTGAAATAAATAGATTTATCGTTATTTATTGGAAAATTTTGATAATTTTGGTAGTCGCGATATAAAAAAAATCTTTATAAAAAAATCGCTATACCTGTATATCCCGACCCTACTGTACTGTATAAAATATGTACATAGTAAACAATAAATGAGAAATGTTTGAGGCTTAATGTCAGTATTGTCTTAACAGTGGCATTTGTTGCATCACATGGACAAAGTGACAAATCTAATGCACCCACACAAACTATGAAAGAATTAGCAGTTGTGCGGACCAAGTCAGTTCCCATCAGTGCAAGGAGTCGAGAAAGAGAACAGGAGGCAGCTTTGGGCCGGTCTCGAAGTGTTCTGTCATCAGATGAGAGTGAAGAGGAGGATGTCTCAGAGAGGAAGACATCAGGAGAACATGAATCGGAGGTAAACAGTATTATTTTTATCCTATTAATGCTATACTGTTTCCAGATAGTAAGACATAATGAAATAATGGCTACTGTAGTTTGAAGGTATCTTTTTTTTTTTAACTTCAGTGAATTATGTAAGGAAAAAATAAGTCATGGTAAGTTAAGTAGAGAAATGATTGAGAAAAATTACCCCAACAGTGTCTCAACATCTGGTGAGGTAAATTTCAATTTGGAGATTACAGTATTCCCCCCCCCCCATTTCAAAGCGGGGGTTAGATTCCAATAAAAAAAGAAGTTTGTTGGTTATATCTGAGTTAGCTAAACTTAATGTCTTATGGGAAAATAAGGCTAGGGAAAACAGCTGTGGATGGTAACATACTTTAGTTAGACCTCTTTCTAAATAAAATTCTAAGTGAAGATTGGTACTTACAGTATAATATACAGGGTGATTCAGCAAAGAGTACATTAAATTGGAGATGAAATCCTTGGATAATTCTAAACCACAATGTCTCAATGGTAAAATGTCAGATTCTGTATAGTTGTATTAATGAGAGTGAATTAGATGTGAAACCTCCGTAGGTTTTTGTAATAATTTATTCACAGATGTCTTATGTACAGCAGTACAGGATGTTACAGATGGCTGACACAGGTGCAATGAGCCAGGGACCGTGTACGACCAAACGAGATAAAGGCAGTTACAGGGGGAGGGAGTTTCACACCAAATTCACTCTCATTAATACAACATCTTAAATATATTGTAACAGGGAACTATGCAAAATCTGACATTATACCATAGAGACATTGTGGTTTAGAATTTATAAAAGGATTTCATCCTCCAATTCAATGTACTGTTTGCTGAATCACCCTGTATATATGAACAACCAAATAGTGAACATGTTTTACTTACCTTAGTAGCCAAGCTAAATAAACATATTTAAACATTAAAATTTATTGTTTGCATCAACTCACTTGTGTGACTAAAAGGTGTCAAGTGGCAGTAACCCTTATCATGTGATACTATAACTCACCTCACCTCACATCTGCAGGGTGTGATCACAATCCTTAACCCCCCACAATAACAATCTGCAGGGTGTGATCACAAACCTTAACCCCCCCACAATAACAATCTGCAGGGTGTGATCACAATCCTTAACCCCCCACAATAACAATCTGCAGGGTGTGATCACAATCCTTAACCCCCCCACAATAACAATCTGCAGGGTGTGATCAACAATCCTAACAATCTGCAGGGTGTGATCACAACAACAATAACCTGTGTGTGATCACAACCTTCAAAACGATAACAATCTGCTGATCACAACCAACCCCCCACAATCTGGGTGTGATCAATCTGCAGGGTGTGATCACAACCAACCCCCACAATAACAATCTGCAGTGTGATCACAATCCTAACCCCCACAATAACAATCTGCAGGGTGTGACCCCCCACAATAACAATCTGCAGGGTGTGATAACCCCCACAATAACAATCTGCAATCACAACTGTGATCACAATAACCCCATTAATAACAATCTGCAGGTGTGATCACAATCCACAATCTGCAGGGGTTCACAACCCCCCACAATAACAATCTGTGATCACAACTTTAACCCCATAATAACAATCTGCAGGGTGTGATCACAACCTAACCCCCACAATAATCTGAAGTGATCACAATCCTTAACCCCACAATAACAATCTGCAGGGTGATCACAATCCTAACCCCCCACAACAATCTGCAGGGTGTACAAACCCAACCCCAACACAATTGCAGGTGTGATCACAACTTAACCCCCACACAATCTGCAGGGTGTGATCACAACTTAACCCCCACACAATCAATCTGCAGGGTGTGATCACAATCCTTCAACCCCCTACAATAACAATCTGAAGGGTGTGATCTGCAATCTTAACCCCCATTAATAACAATCTGCAGGGTGTGATCACAATCCTAACCCCCAATAATATCATCACCCCCCCACAATAACAATCTGCAGGGTGTGATCACAATCCTTAACCCCCACAATAACAATCTGAAGGGTGTGATACAAACCTAACCCCCCACAATAACAATCTGCAGGGTGTGATCACAATCCTAAACCCCCACAATAACAATCTGCAGGTGTGATCACAAACTTAACCCCCGACAATAACAATCTGCAGGGTGTGATCACAAACCTTAACCTCCCCACAATAACAATCTGCAGGGTGATCACAACCTAACCCCCAATAACAACAACACTGCAGGGTGTGATCACAAACCCAACCCCCACAATAACAATCTGCAGTGGTGCAGGGTGTGATCACAATCATAACCCCCACAATAACAATCTGCAGGGTGTGATCACAACTTAACCCCCACACAACAATCTGCAGGGTGTGATCACAATCCTTAAACCCAATAACAATCTGCAGGGTGATCACAACCTTAACCCCCACTAACAATCTGCAGGGTGTGATCACAACCTTAACCCCCAATAACAATCTGCAGGTGTGTGATCACAAACCTTAACCCCTAACAATCTGAAGGGTGTGATCTCAAACCTTACCCCACAATAACAATCTGAAGGGTGTGATTCAAACCCCCACAATAACAATCTGGTGTCAATGGCAGCAACACTTGTCATGTGAGGTGGTAACTCGTCACCTCATGTCTACAAGCTTCTTGATTTGGTGGTTCCTTTGAAATGTTGACAACTTGACTGACTGACTAGTTGGCAGCTTAATGTAGAGATAAATTACCAGCACCTGACATAGGTCACTAATTGTGGTACTGTACACTGCTGACAAGCTGCCCATTGTTAGACCTCACTGGTTAAACATGTCTGGTGAGGTGGCGTGCTGCACCTGGTAAATTTCCCGTCTAGGTACTGTATCTTATCAAAATATTACCTTGTCCACCAAGCAAGATGCTAGGCACATAGACACGAAAAATAACTTACCTGGTCTTTGTCCAAGTGCGGCCGGGTTATTAGGCACCACTAATCTGCATAGCCTGACTTAACCATAATCTGGCATGACAGGCTGATTTAATTTTTTCATTGTCCCATTCCAAAATGGTAAATTGCATTGCTAGACTACAATCCCTCTCCAACTGTGGTTTTGAGAATTTGTTGCACACTTCTAGATTCAGAATCTCATTACTATATACTGCAAATTAACCCAAATCCCCATTCAGGAACAAGTACTGATAAGAGATAATTCATTCCTACCATTCAATGAGTTAATGATGACTGCTATTTATTACTTTCATACTCATTGACACACTTTTCATGTTCTGTACTCTATATAATAGGTATCAAAAGAACTTATAAATGGGTTTTATTAAGTGAATACTGTTGCAAGTTTTAACCTGCATGTTCTTATCCCCTGAATAGTTAGCAAGAGCAGTTTATATCTGTTTTCATGTGTTCTGTGTGACATCACATCAGTCTGACTATTACAATTTTATGATTGGTAAGAGGTACAGTACTCCAATTAACACTTTCAAAGTGTAAATACAGTACAGCAGAACATGTACTGTAGTATTGGTAAACTGATTCCATTTTAATTTTTCTTAATACTTTTATTTCATTTCAGGGAATGAGCGTTGAGGATTTATCTGCAGTGTGTCTCGGATGTGCAATGAACCTTTCTCACCATTCTGCTGCACTGAAGACACGACTTGCACAGCTCAATGTGCAGCCAGATATCACCCTTAGGACTGCGCTTGATGGCATTAATGAGGTAGGATGCCACAAAGTAAATGGTCTATTTGTAATTTTTCTTTCATTGTATATATTTTAACCATTTAATTGGGAGACAAGAAACATTTATGACAAAAAAGTGAGTAGAGTTATTTAGAATAACCAGAATTTTCTTCAGATAGCAAAACCATCTTGAAAACTAGGAAGTCTGACATTCTGAAGCAAATACACGCTGCCTATGTTATTGTATTAAGAAAGGCATTTTGATTTAGCCTTTTTGGCTTGAGCTTAACTCTTTCTGGCACTTTTTTTCATTTCTTATGATGCTTGAATTGTTATGGACATAATCTCCTGTCTCATTCTATGGCTGTTCATTATACAGTACAGTACAAGTATCCCCCACATTATGGAAACTCAGGTTGTGGAAATTCGCCCAAATGGAATTTGTAAAATATGACCACTAAATTCGGGGTACGGCCCGTAAATTCGACCTTACAGAATTGGGGTAAATTTTCAACACAAAAATTGCGATATAGAGGGAAAACCAAATTCACAGAAATATTAATTTATTTGTTGTTGATTTCTTGGTGTTTGCTACTACCAAGTGTGGATACACTGGTATACCCATGCCGACTCTGTGTTATTTTCCTGTGTGTTCGCTTGATCTCTTGACCGCAGCTCATGAATTTAACACTTACTTACGTATTTTATTCAAGACTGTCCATTGTATTACCCTTATTTAAGATAGTGGAAAGAGGCCATCAAGTGCAAGTGGAAGCAGTGGTGCTAAAAGAGCCTGTAAAGGAATTGTGTTGGATATAAAACTCACCTCATGTAGCACTCAAAATCATTTGTGGGGAGTGAAATTGAAGTGTTTTGTGCATAGTATTATTTTTATTTATTCCTCACATTTACTGGTGCAGTTGGGCAGTCACCTAGCAGACTCATCGGGGGAGGGAGGAAGGGAGGCAGACTGGCGAGTCTTCTACTCAGTTACAAATCAATGCCTCCACACACAAATGTTCACTTCCCAAACATACACACCCATTATCTTCATTTTTCTTATTTATAGTTTTATAATATATTTTCTTTATTTCTAAGCCACATTAGAGTACAGTATTGTAATGATTTTTTGACAACTTTTATAGTTTCATTACATGTACCGTATTTTTCTGCTTAAAAGACGCACTTTTTATGACAAAAATATACCTAAAAAATTACCATGCGTCTTCCAGGACACTAGTCGATGAGTTGTAACAGAGGTTTTTGAAATCAGCCCCTTACAAAGACTGTTACCTCATTACAGTACTTAACAATTACAAGTATCCTCTATAAAACTATTGATTTAACTAATATTGTTGATATATTGCAAAAAAAAAAATAAAAATAAACCCTTGTTGCTGTGTGGTTTGTTTACTAATGGCAGTGGTGCGGCAGCGCCATCTATTGAGGAATTGCTAAAGGTTGTCTGCTGGTCTCAAATGCAGGAATGTTTGTTTCTTTTTATGTAGGCTCTCATATTTGTTTGTTTCTTTTTATTTACAGTAGGCTCTCATATTTGGACACCTATTTACAGTAGGCTCTCATATTTGGACACATATTTACAGTAGGCTCTCATATTTGGATACCCATTTAGACTGTAAAAACCCCACAAAATTAAAATCTTCCAAATTTAAATACAACTTCGTCATCCAAGTAAAAACACACACACACACACACACAACATTGGCTGTCCTTGTGTTTTCAACTTTACTCCACTGGTGGGTAGAATTTTTTTTAAATTCAGAAACATTAATTAAAATATATATGAACAGTAAATAAGTGTTGCTTTCATATTCTTATGTAAAGTAATGATGATATGTTTTACACATGTGCTCACTTACATACGTGATCTCACTTTTTTTTTACCCTTAATTGTTAGCTACTTCCATTGTTCCATTTATTAACATTAAATAACATTACTTAAAACAACCTTCCTAATTTTACTACAGCTACAACTCAGGGTCTTATTTTCTTCAGTTTTATATGTAGAACCAATCAGTCACTGGTTTTGTAAACAAGAAAAACAATGACGTCTTGTCTCCTCATGTGTTTTAATATTCTTCGTATTATTAATGAATTGTATTGTTCAATTTGTGCACATAAACAATAATTCAATCAAAAAGAAATTCAGAAACATAAATTAAAACATATATGAACAGTAAATAAGTGTTGCTTTCATATTCTTATGTAGAGTAATGACGATATGTTTACACATGTGCTCACTTACATACGCGATCTCACTTTTTTTTTACCCTTAATTGTTAGCTTCTTCCATTGTTCCATTTATTAACATTACTTAAAACAACCATGTTAATTTTTCTACATTAATTTTAATACAGCTACAATGGAGGACTTATTTTCTTCAGTTTTATAATTGTGTAGAACCAATCAGTCACTGGTTTTGCAAAAAACGAGTTTTTTTTTACTTTTATTTTGTTTTTAAATAAAGATTTTTTTTTATATAGACGTTGATATACATGTTTACATTTGCTTACCTTCTACTGTTGGAAAATATTTCCCGTCGTTGTCATACCGACAAAAACAAGAGAAAGAATGTAAACGCTACAGCCCCTAAGATGTGGATGTGACCAGGTGTATAAAATGAGTGCTGTATTAAAGATTTCACCTTATACAGATTTTTTTTTAAATTGATGAAAATGACGTCTGATAAGCAGTTCTAAGTGATGCCAAAAGGGCTGTATATCAAGCAACGGTTTCACTGGTGTAGGTAGTAGGCAGCTAATGTACCAAACAAGGAGGTACTACCGTCTGGGAAGATATTGGATGCATAATGTATTGTCTAATGGTAGACCCTGCTGCTATGTGACCAAGTCCCTCGTTACTTGTATAATAATGGTTGCCCAAGGGCCCAAGGGCCACCTAGGCGTGAATTTATTTAAGTTGTAGAAGCTGTCAGCAACACAACAACCACACGCTGAGTTAACGAGCTGCATGACCCAGTGTCGAGGAATAATCCAAGAAGACCGGACAGCTCGCCAACTGCACTGGCTAACCATTACCCTGGAATAAGATCCGCAAATCGATTAACATCCAGGTCCCCAATTACTTTTGGGTAGACATAGACAAATGGCGTAAAGAAACTTGCTCATAGTTTCCCCCTGCCCGGGATCAAACCCGGATCCGCTTGCTTGCGAGGCAAGCATGCTGACCATTGCACTCTTATACGGGGGCAGGGATGGGTCGGAAAAGCTGATAAGTTGAATAATCAGGGTTCTGTACCCAAATTATGTTACTGCACATAAGATAATCACTTGAGTTGGTAATAATCATATGTTGTCACACCAACATCATACTCAGCAGCCAACTTACCAATGGAAGCACCAGAGTCTACTTTATCATAATCTGCATTTTCTCCTGAATATTGAGTACAAGCTTCCTTTTCACTTCTTGCTTTTGAGGAGACTTTCCTAGAAAAGATGGAAAGAAGAAAACTTAGAAAATCTAAAGCTAGTACTTTCACAATGAAAATAACAAAATGTGCTTTACACTGCAGTAATTTAATTTCTTTATTCTTTAATTACTGCTGAATAATGAATACCAAATGTTTTCTGTTTACTTCACAGATAATATGAAGAAAAGAAATTATGAAAATAAAAAGAAAGGACTCACTTTCACAACAAAAACTAAGAAAATCAAGCGACGGTGATGTTACTGTACAGTGTACACATGCGCTTCCTTGATACTGGCAAACTTACTGAGGCCTGCACCACGCGCTCCCCACGTGCTCTGCTGCCGCGCTTACAATGCTGCTGCTTCTAACACTGCATTGCCGTATTTAATAACCGCTAACACGGTAAACAGCTGACTGGACCTGTCCTACGGTGGGGGGGTCGGTTAAATGAGGGTTAGTACAGTGAAGCCTCGAATAATGACGTTAATGTGTCCTCCAATATTGCAGTGTAAGGTGTATCATCGTATCATGAATCATTAATTACCATTAAAATAAAGCAATAATAATGAGATGCGTTCCCAAGTGTGACCTTTTCATATCTTTTGTGTGGCTTTTTACCCTCTTTTCCCCCCAAAACAATACAGTTAATGAAAATTGCAAAGTATATTCTTATGTTTCTGAAAGCACCTTATTCAATATAAATGAATAATACAGTCGACCCTCGTTAATTCGGACCCCTTTAATCCGGATTTCGGATAATTCGGACAAAATCTGAAGGAACTTTTTTTTTTTAGATTTATAGGAATATTACCTACGCGGACCTTAAGCTAAAATGGTGGTCCACCCACTGCTGGGATAAAACACCAGCGTCTTTTTGGTTAAATGTAACATCTCCACCACTAGTGTGGGGGGGATGCAACTTTTAGCTTCAGACATGCAAAATATTTACCATTTACTGCCAGTAAACAATGGAAACGTAAAATATGTACCAATTAGTAATGAAAAGTTGTGCAGTTCTTTCAGCAAATGAAGCTCACCAACTTACAATAGGCTAAATTACCTTACAACGTGTTTTCAGTAGTCTATGTTGAAGTTCTTAGCACAGGCTAACTTATCATATCATATACGGTATCACAGTTCTCATTGATCTACAAAAAATACCAGTAATAAAAACCTTTTCGATATTTCACACTTAATATAATACCCGGTAATCTACTTCAACCTCCTATTGTTTACAACGACACATGACGCACCACCAGCTGTTGAGTATCAGCTACACGGTACACGTGTTTTTCGAATCGTTTTCAGTTAAAAAACTGTTACATCACATGTATATTTTACCTTAACTGTGCCTGAATGAATATGTTCTCGGAAATAAATAGTAGTTTTGCTGAAACGTGATGTATTTTAATGTAAAATAGGATAAAATACATGACGAAAACAAAAGATTTTACCTAACCTTCCGATGTTCAAGAGAAGTTACTCTTTTTTTTAATAGTTTTTTGTTAAAATACTGTTATATTACAATGGTATTCTATTCATACTGTGCTTGATATAATGCATTCACGGAAATGTAATATTTTTGC